ACATCTCTTTCTGTTAGAAAAGTAGTTGTTAGCCTTCTTAATAATGTAATACAGTAATTTGAGGCCTATCATGGCAATATAGATACTTATTTTTATGTTGTTGATATTAATGTAACATAATATAATGTAATATTAGTACATAAAATATTCCTCAAAATTGATATTATAATATCTACCATTTATTAGTAGTTATTACTCCCCCATGCATCCCTGCCTTTCCAATGGGCTTTTGATATATTATCTATGTCAATCTCACCACACCCATGTGAGAAGGATATCCCCAACCCCGATTTACAGATAAGAAAATGGAGGCTCACAGAGGAGAAGCTGCTTGCTCAAGGTTTCGGAGCCAACCAGGAGATCCAAGTTCTGACCTGGCCCTGGCTTCTGACCCACATGGGACTTCAGTCGGCTGTCTTGATGTTGCCCTTGTGTAGAGGCTGCTCCTTGCTCTTCTTGCCTCAAATTGTTACAAAACAAAGACTTTCTACATTACAGAGCTGCCCAGAAAACTTGACATGTGTGAAGCGTGTTTAGAAAGACGCCTCACTCATAATAAGCACTCAACAAATGCTAGCTATCATGTAACTGAGCTGTAGTTTTCCTCCAAAATACATCTCCACTAATCAGTTAATTTCTTTCTTCTACTAATAATTTCTCCATTTTGAAGTATTATCACGTTCATTTTTTATTGTTACTGAGGAATAGTTCTTCATATTTTGTATATCCATTTTAAGATTTATATTAAGATATTCAAATATAAATCTCTAGTGGTGCAATCTACACAGCAAATAATTGTCAGAAAATAATTGTACTATAAAATTTTTATTGACTGTTCCCCTCCAAATTTCAGTCATATTCTTTGGCTTTCCTTCAAGAGTAAAACACTTCTTCCAAGTTTAAAACGCAGTCATACCTAGAAATTCTACAAAAAAATGTCAGTTTTCATGACAACTAAAACAAGTGGACATAAGAAATGTCAAAAGTTACTCAGTTCCTTTGAATTTTCTTTTGTTTCTATGGATTCTTTTAAGTGATGAACAACAATATTTCCTTTTATTTACTTTGTCTTCAGGCTAGAATATATTTTTCATGCACATGTATATTCACCTTTATTTCCTTCATCTCCCCTTCAGTGTACACATAAAAGCTTAGAGTTTATAATTTGGGAAAAATGACAGAATCACAGGAAGTTACAGTCTAATACACTCCAAGAAAATTTGACATTAATAATTTCAGATCAACAGGTATCTCCTATGTCTGGTAGTAATATGATCTTATACTTCATAGTACTTTACAGTTCAAGGTCCTTTCCCATACATTATCTAATTTAACCCTAAAATAACCCCATTACAGGCATCTTTTAGTGTAATCATTCTGAGAAAGGATAAAGTAACGTTCTTGGAGGTAGCAAATGGTGGAGTAGATGTCAAACCCAGAATTTCTTACCCTTTGTCCATTTTTACTACAGTTTTCATTATTCTAGAAAGAATTGCTAAAATTTCTCTTAGTGACTTGTTACCTGCCAGGCCTTGCAGTTCTGTTACTATTCCAAATGCTTAACGTAGGTACATCCTGCTGAAATTGAAGGTGACTAAGTTCCTATCACTTGAGCTAAAGTAACTTTCCCAAGGTCTTTTATGGAAGGTTAATTATCAGAGTTTCTAAATTAATTTTTTTTTTTTTTTTTTGAGTTGGAGTCTCACTGCATCACCCAGGCTGGAGTGCAATCGCATGCTCACAGCCACCCTAGCCTCGACCTGCTGGGCTCCGACGATCCTTCCGCCTCAGCCTTCCAAGTAGCCAGAACTATAGGCACGCGCTACCATGCCTGGCTAATTTTTTTTTTATTTATTGTAGAGACGAAGTCTTGCCAAGTTGCCTGGGCTTGTCTCAAACCTGCAAGCTCAGGCAGTCCACTCACCTCGGCCTCCCAAAGTGCTGGGATTACAGGCTGCGCCACCGAGACAGGCCTAAATCAATTTTTTAAAAGGCTCTTTCTCTGGGAAAAAAATGCATTATCTAGAATAAGAATCAGCAAACTTTTGCTGAGAAGGGCAAGACAGTAAATATGTTAGGCTTTGTGGACCACAGAGCCTTTGTGAAACTGCCCAACTTCACTGTAGCAAGAAAAGTGCCTTAAGCCATATGTAAATGAATGGACATGACTGTGTCCCAATAAAACTTTATTCATAAAACTTTATTCATAAAAACAGAAGCAGAATAGATTTGGCCCATGAGCTGTAGTTTGTCCATCCCAGTCTAGAAGATACCCACTCTGTTCATTTTAGAGCAATGGAGAGTAAGATCCAGGTTGTCCTTACTGAAGCACTGAAAGAACATTAAGCAGAGGGGAGTGGACATACTTATAGAGAGAAGCTTCTTGTTTTGTTGTAGTTTTATATAGGCAAGAGGGATGGATGAGAGGGTGCTCTGGCTACCCCACAAGCCTGTGTTTGCTAAATTGTAAGATAGGAAGTAAGATTCTTGCCTCTGGTTGGGAGCTGGCTGGGGAAATATGTTGGTTTACATCCTTTAATTCCACTTGTGCTTTCTAACGTCTTACTATATGTTGTGCTGGGAGCCACCAGATGTACAAAGATGAGGAAGGCTCATTGGTGACTTTCTAGGAGTTTCTAGTCTGGAGTGGGGATAGAAGAAGAGGTGATGAGGACAGACAAGTGTACAAACAAAAAGTAGCATAAGGAAAAATGGGAAAAGGACCAGTAAGGAGGTGTTAACCAAAATACACACAGAAAAAAAACCAGGAGAAGTACGCTTTGTACTGAGTGAGTGGGGTGGTATCACATTAGAGGATAACATCTACCAGGGCCGTGAAGAATGCAAGGACCCCAAAAAGGAGCTTAGGGAAGAGCAGGTCAGGAAGAGAAACCAGTAGGCACAGAGTATAGAGATGCATGGCATGTGCAGAAGGTAGCACAAGCCCCTGTGCCTGGAGCAGGTGAGGAGAGGGAGAGAGAGAGTCCAACCACACCTGCCCGAGAGGCCAAGCAAATCTGAGGTGTTGAGATTTTGTTCCACAGTGTGAAAGGAGCATTTGTAGCTTTTGAACAGGCACATATGTAAGACAAAAATGGGACTTTACTGAGAGAACATCATCAGCAATGTAGGCAAGCTAGGTTCACTCAAAGACTTCTGAGAACTGCAGAAGCACTGTCCAAGAAAAATATGCACACACAGATGCAAGCCATATCTATGATTTTAACATTTCTTATTATCTACAAGTTTACCAAGTAAGAAGAAACGATTAGTCATAATAATAGAGTATTGCTTAATTTAACCAAATTATTATAATTCCAATATTTTGATATAAAAATGATTAATGAGATATTTTACTTCCTTTATCACACACAAAGTCTTTGAAATCCAGAATGAATTTTTTCACTGAGAGCAAATCTCAGTTTGAATTTTCAGGGTCTGGTGGCTAATGACCACCATAATAGTCAGTGCAGTCCTGAGTCCATGAGAGTATGGGCCTCTGGGAAGGGACTTTAGGTGTCGACTGAAGATGAGACCTGGGGATGGTTGTTGAGGATGCCTGTCTGCTTATTTCACCAAAGTCCCCTTGTGCCTGGAGCACTCTTAGAATACCATCATAGGAACAATTGCTGTGCCTTTTAAAGTAGACTTCATAAAATGCTATGCACACTTAGAAAATACTGTTCTAGCTAAAGGTAGGTAAACCGTTAAGGTAAGTAAAATTTTGGACACTTAACATTATAATTACAATGGTTTCAATAGGGAGCTCGAATTTAGATTTTTCAGCTGGAAAGGCTCTTAATTATTATTTTGCAAAAACTTTCAATTTTACAAATGGTGGGCACTCAATGTCAATCAAATAGGTGTTACTCTTGGGACTCCCTAATTTTCTTCCAGATTACTGTGTAAGGGGGGTCTGATATGTGACAGAGAGAGACAGAGAACACAAGAAGCAGAGGCAGGCAGCAGAGATGAGGCGGTGGGAGAAGGACCACAGAACGGGATCGCTGAGGGCCTTTTTCATGCTGCAAATGCCCACCCATCCTGGCCTACCAAGTGGGAGACGCTCACAGCCAGATGAAGGCAGGGCCGTTGCTGATCTGTAAGGAGATGTGTGTTATTATTTGGAAATGTAACTAAACATAGACTATAGTTAACCAGAATTCCTGAAAGGTAAAACAGTTTGGGGGTACCTTATTAAACTGCTTGGAGGGTTGGCTGGGTGCAGGAAGGAAAAGAGGAAGAGTGAGTGGCAAAGGATGCCGACAGACATACGGAGCCGGCCGGGACAGCAGGGTGACCACAGTCCTCATCCCAGGGCCAGTGTTGTTTGTTTTTGGCTAGTGTATGTGTGTGTATCACGTTTGGGGATGGAAGGGAGTTGCTGCAGTAAGAATGGTAAGATTGAGACTGTTCTCCACTGTCTTCATTTTTCACTTCCCCATTAGCAGCACGATCTTCTCTTCTCCCCCACCCAAAAAGGAGGGAGGGGGATCTTTTGCAGTATCATTTTGGGCACTAGCTTATTAGCCGGATCACAATATCAAACTGAACTATCCTAAGAACCCTGCATTTGCTCGTTTGGGTCCAGCTGGGTGGTGCCGTCTAAACACTCTCCAGGTGGTCTGATCGGAGCTCTCCCAGCAGGGGAAAGCCATAAGATAAGCACTTCCCCACTGCAGGAGTGTCCTGATGGCCGGGGCTTGCTGAAGTGCACACTCTGATTCCCGAGGCCAGGGTGGAGTCGGACTCTGCGTTTCGAACCAGCTTCTGGGCCCACCGGTGCTGCTGGTCTGCAGATCCCACCCAAGCAGTACGGCCCCAGACGCCAGACACTGCCTGATCCGAGTGATGTGACATCCTTAGGAATCTCCTTTTTACTTGCGGCATTCCTTAGCTATGCCCTGTCCTTCTTTCCCTTGGAGAGCCTGGGTGGGAAAGGGTGAGGGCTCGGGAGGTCCTTTCCCTCCAGACTTCCGTCTCTTGCTTTCTGCGCGCAGGTGTCCAAGCTGGAAAGGGAGAAGACGCAAGAAGCCAAGCGGATCCGCGAGCTGGAGCAGCGCAAGCACACGGTGCTGGTGACGGAGCTGAAAGCCAAGCTCCACGAGGAGAAGATGAAGGAGCTGCAGGCCGTGCGCGAGACGCTCATCAAGCAGCACGAGCAGGAGACGGCGCGCACGGTGAAGGTGCGCGACGGGGAGATCCAGCGGCTCAAGGCGGCGCTGTGCGCGCTGCGCGACGGCGGTGGCGACAAGGTGCGGACCGCGCTCACCATCGAGGCCCGCGAGGAGGCCCGGAGGCAGTTCGACGCCGAGCGCCTCAAGCTGCTGCAGGAGATCGCAGACCTGAAGACCGCCAAGAAGCAGGTGGACGAGGCGCTGAGCACCATGATCCAGGCCGACAAAATCAAGGCCGGGGACCTCCGGAGCGAGCACCAGTCGCACCAGGAAGCCATCTCCAAGATCAAGTGGGAGTCGGAGCGGGACATCCGGAGGCTGGTTAGTACAGCGGCCGCATCAGCCGGGCCGAGCCTTTCTCTGGCCGGGCTCGGAGCGTTCTCTGGCCAGGCGCGACTGGCTGCCTGCCTCCTTGGTGGTGGATTGCAGGCTATGCTAGGGCCAGGACAGACGAGTAGGCGGGTAGGGAAGGCGAGAGGGAGGGAGGTAGACGCTGTCACACCGAAACTAAGACTTCTAAGAGATTTCGGAATCGCCTTTCTCATAAAAACTAGGTTCTTTCGGCCCCGGCATCTGTTCAATGACTCCTTTTTTCTTGGATATTTATATAAATATTCTAGTTATGAACCCTTCCAAAGTCCGCATGTTTTTGTGGGCTTTTTCACTATAAAATCATACTGGGTTTTTACGGGGACAGGGAAGTTCTGTGCCTTTCAGGGTGTCTGAATACGGCAGCTACTGGGAATGTCCCGATTCACCAGTGTTTTCCCAGGAACCATGTCTGAAACAAGATGGAAAATCTAAAAATATCTAATCATCTAAAAAATAGATCTTTTCCCGAAAATAAACAGGGTCATTTAAAGCAGGAGCCATTATCACTTTTAAATTGGGTGCTAATTTCTAAGTACCTTGTTTGCTACTTATAATTTCCAGACCTTTATAGAGTTGCATCTTTCCTTCTAACACGTATGGCCAAAAGCCACACAGGCCTCTCACCATGCTTAAACATAAACATAACTATTGTCTGAAAGCAGAATGTCCCTGGTTGACCTTGTCTGATTATTTTAGAAGAAGAAATGTTTATGTTCATCTATACTCAGATGGTCAGCGCAGTTCTGTCCTAGTCACATCTTGTCAGATTGAGGATCACATGTTACTTTATGCTGTATTTTATAGTTCTCTAAAAATAATGTTTTCTTAGAAAAAAAACATACTTTTCCTCTTTTGTTTTTCAATTCTAAGCAGTTACTTTCTTAGAATTCTAATTATGTTCCTTGGGTGATACCTCTAGGATTTTAATTTTAAGTTCAAAGTAGTTACTATAGAACATTTTTCAAAGCTAATGTGTAGTTTTCTTTGTACTGCAATATAGTGTAACTGTAAAATAATGCTCTCGCCACACCTTCTGAATTCTTTATCTTCAACTCATTCAAGTGCACTGTTTAACAATAAAGACCAAACAGTGTAGAAATACTGTTCTCTGCCCTGTCTTTGGCTTTTGAAAGACAGTGGCTGATGAAGACTGAATCCGGACTTTGAGCTCTGGAGTCGGCAGGTAAGTAAATGAAAAGGAAGCTTTGCAGTAGATATTTTTGTTTGTTGATGGTTTCCAATGTAAAATCTATAAGCATATTCACTTGTTGATCTGCCAATTTGTCCACAACTTCCTCTCATAAGCATCTTGCTGAAGTAGACATGAAATCCTTCTTAATAGCAATGTAAAGTCTAAGCCATCAGAAGAGTGGTTCAAAAATTGGATGCAAACAGAAACACATGGAAAACATTTTCAATAACACAGATCCATTTCATTTTTCCCTTGTTTCTCTGTGCCTACCTATACCCCCAGCTCTATTTTCAGAGCTGGAAGGGAAAAAAAATGGGAGCTATTCTGTCTAGAAATTTTCCCCCAGAGAATTCTGGTATATACCCTTTTCTATCTAGTAAGCAAAGTCTTAGTTGATTTTTCACATTCAGAGATCAGAGTTCATGCTCATCACCACCATGCAATAAAGCCTCCTTAATATTAATTACTAGATAGTCCACAGAAAACCACTTTGGGAAGTGCTGGAAGTATGTGAATAACCTAAGAGGCCATTGTAGCATGGTGCCTAACAAAATGAACTCTACAGTCAGAAAACTCCATTAAAAGTCATGCTTCATCACTTACTAGCCATAGGATCATGGCCACAGTCTTAACCTCAGCCATTTTCTGTAGAATGAGGATAACAACCTACTGAATAGGATGTTCATAAGATACGACATATAAAGCTTTGCATATAGTGCCTTGAACATAATTTGGAACTGATATGTTTCAGTTATGATAATGGTGGTGAGGTGGATGCGTTTGGGCAGCAGTGGAGTGACTTCTAGCAAGCTCTATGAGGGAAAGCATGCAAGAACCACTCAGGCACATGCAGATCTGGAACTTTACGAAAATGGAAATAAAGTAACGACAGATAAATGTGCTACTCAGGAAAAAACACTGGACTCAAGTCTTCTACAAGGAAATAGAAACTAAAGACGATTCTTTTAATACCATTTAGCAAGATAGTATTTCATTTCTTACCAAGTTATGAGATGGTTTTACAGGATATGTGGAACTTAGCCCATGCCCTCCCAAAATTGATCTTAAATTTAATCATGGAACTTGGAGGCAGTAGCTCACAGATGTTTATATGTGGAAAATATGTGACTATATAACACCATTTCTATCACAGCTATTGTTTTCTGGCCTAAGAATATAGCAAAGAAAGATTTATACAAAGTGATTTGTTTTTCATAAGAAGACACTTTTAGAAAAATTAAAACAAATAATATTCTTAGTATTAAATGTTTTTTCCCATCTCCATTTTGATTATTTACACAGAGTATAATAAAATGAGTACAAAGATTTTACCCAATGGCTATGCTTTCTTTAAAACTTGTTAACAGGCTGGGTGTGGTGTTTCATGTCTATAATCCCAGCATTTGGGAGGCTGAGGCAGGAGGCTCACTTGAGCCCAGGAGTTGTGGCCACAGTGAGCTATGATCACACTACTACATTTCAACCTGGGTGACAGAGCAAGATTCTATCTCAAAAGAAAAATGTTTACAGATATTCATGTCATTACCCTTATCCAGGAGTGGCAAAAGTTTTCAGTCCAGTGGGTCTCTGATCAATTGGTATCGAATGCCTGTGACCTTTAGTTGAGAAATACTTTTGATGCCATGCCCAGACTTAGCAGAAATGAGCACTGGTCTCAATAAATATATCCCACAGAAATGAGAGGGAAATAGTGGCTAATATTATGGAGTATTTTCCATACTCGTTCTGGTCCCAATCATGACTTTCTGATAGTAGTGTTTTATAAAAATTGTTGCTAATAACTGGCTGCTGTGAAGTATGGATGGGAATGGAAAGACCCTAAAACATGAGCCATGGAAAGACCCCCTCCAAATTCACCTCCCGGATGCAAGAAAGCTACCTTGGGAAATGACCAGACCACTAGGAAGTGTGAAATGTCTTCTGTTACAAATGACCTAGGGATTGACAGCAGCCAGAAACTGCCAGGTGAGGGAGGACAGGAGAGGGGCACATAACATCAATAAGGGTACCTGATTTCAAACCAGGCTAATTGGGGACCAGTGGGAGCCCCCAACTTTACCTATACACTGACCACTTGTATGCCTAATCCTGAATTGTACCTGATGTCTTAAAAATAAAAAAATAGAAAGAAAAAAAAACACCCAAATCAATGATATTACCAAAGAAGAAATATTGCTATTTGGATTGAATTTGAATGATATTCCCCCAAAGAGGAGCTAACATCAAAATTTGTCCTGGGAAACATAGTAGTGGAGTATTTAGTATTTGTCTTTACTAACATTATTGGCCCATTTTAAAGTTAGCCTTCCCTTTCCATATCTAACCAACCCAGTCCATTTCCAACAATGTATTGGAAACATTGTTTCCCAAAACATCTACATGGGATATACTGAGAGCAGAAATGACTCTCCTTGACCTTAACAAACCAAGGTCACTTTTATTTCACATGTTGCCTCACCTCATTGATGGCCTCAACACACTTGTCCCATCTTTGTTTCTGTACCAATCAGATGGAAGCAGGTAAACTCATGCCTCAATGAAATGTATTTATTGACAGCATTGTTAAATAAAATGTCTTGGGTCTCATTTAATTCAGATGGATGAAATCAAGGCTAAGGACAGGATCATCTTTTCCCTGGAGAAGGAACTGGAGACACAGACAGGCTATGTGCAGAAACTCCAGCTGCAGAAGGAGGCTCTGGACGAGCAACTCTTCCTGGTCAAGGAGGCTGAGTGTAACATGAGCAGTCCAAAGCGTGAGATTCCAGGACGGGCAGGCGACGGCTCAGAGCACTGCAGCAGTCCTGTAAGTCTATTTCAGCTGAAGTTAAGGACTCACCAGTCATCTTTCCCTCAGCTCCCAAGTTCTCCTTTTCATTTAAGTTCTTTTCCTGTTTACTACAAGTAAATCAATCTACCTTCTACAGTAAATCCAGCTAGTATCTTGGGAACAGTGTTTTCTAAACTCATGAACATCAGAGTGGTCTGTACTAAATTAGCAGACCACATGAGATTTGCAAATTTCTTTAGATCCTTTGTAGAATTTTTCTAGCTGAGCTTAAGTTTCTAGCCGAGCTTAAGTTTCTATCCAAACTTAAGTCTATTATAAGAATCATAAATTAGATGAAAATATTTTGTCTCTTACCAAGATTGGTCATTTTCCCTTTCCAAAAACTATATGGAAATTAATAAAGATGGTTATTATCTACAGGGATCAAAATGTATAACTATAAAAGATGGAACTATTTATAATCTTTATCTGAAAGCTTCTAGTCTGATTGAATTTGCCACTTGTTTTCCTGGATTGTCATCATTTTACATGAGAAATTATTTTCAGAAGTACAGTGAAGGAGATCAGTGTGTACATAGTTGTTTGTACATCTTACACTTTTCAAATTATTTAGTTGCTTTAATGATGAAAATATTATTTAGGAACAGAGATAGGTTTCAAAGGACTACTTGGAATCAAGTAATGAATAACGTATCACTGGTATTCAGGATATATATGTCCGAGTAGGTGGTGGAAGGAATACTGATCTGGGATTTAGGAGATGTAAGTTTCAATTCTGTCAGACAGTACCTGCAATATAGCACAATATCAAAAGAATGGACTCTGGAGTCAGCCCCTTGGTTCAAATCCTGAATCTGCCATTGACTGTGGGACCTGAGACAAACCACATCAGCACTTGGCATCCACATCAGCACTTCAGAGTCTGTAGCAGTCCCTCTCATCCTCAGCCTTGAAGAGAGGATGTATAAAATGTGGAGGGCAGTGTCTGGCTCCTAGTTAGCATTCAATACTTAGTGGTTATCAGTCTGTTGATGTTAGCCATAAGACCTTAAATAAGTTATGACCTATCTGGATTTTACTTGTTCTGCTGAAGCTTCCAGGATATTGTGAGCCTAGAGATAGAATATATGTGAAACCATTTGTCAACAGTACAACACTTGCAAAATGTAAGATGATAATAGCATTGCAGCCATATGATACTAACAGTGTTACATACTCTACAGCAGAGAATGAAGCCATGATGACTGTGTAAGGTGTTTCATATCCATTCTGCTGGTGGGGCAGCCAATTGCATTGGGCAGAATATCCTAGTGAAGGCTATCCCAGAAATCACTGCCTTTATATGCAAAGATAATGCACCAGCCTTTTTCTTCAGGAGAATGCAGGAATTTCAAAAACCCATCCCTCCCTCCTTAACTACCCCTTGTGGCCAAGTGTCACAGCAGGACAACTGTCTAGGCTGTGGGACTCAGTATACAGCCATGACACAGGGTGCCCCCTGTACCTCAACAATCACAATATGACCATGGCCTCACATCTCACAGCTCTGACAAGCTGACCCAACTCTCACTTCCCCTGCCCATGTCCAGCTCCAGGGGTTCCCTACCACATGGAATTCATTTGCAGTTTAAACCAGGCTTGGTCTTCCACCAGCCTGTGAACAGGGCATCATTAAAGGATAAATATTGACTCTTTGCTGAATAAAGACATGTTACTCTCACTTCAGGAGCCAGATAAAGAGAACTGAGCCAGTTACTTTTATGAGTTATGAGTACGGTTCCAAAATCTTGTGAAAACTGTTGTTGAAGAAATGCTCTTTTAAATTTTCATGTGTAGGATTTGCGAAGAAATCAAAAGAGAATAGCTGAATTAAATGCCACTATAAGAAAATTAGAAGATAGGAATACCTTGCTTGGAGATGAACGAAATGAATTGGTGAGTTATACTCAAAATGTTTTTTATGGTTTTTTGCTGTTGTTAAGCATTTTGTTACAGAAGTATATGTTATAAAATTGTACCATAATAAAGAAAAACACACAAATAATAGATACAGGTCAATAAATATTCAGACTGCCACACCCATATAACCACCACCCAGAGGAATGAATTGGAATGAACTCACCACCTGTAGGAATGCTGACATCCTCAGCATCTCAGAACTCCCCCTTCTCATGACCTCTCAGTCACTATCCTATTAAACTTTAGCACTATTCTCACTTCCCTTACCTTAAATGTCTATCACCATTAAAAAAAATTTTTTTTAATGGAATGATGCAATATTCACTCTTTTGTGCCTGACTTTCTCAGCATTATGTCTGTGAGATGGATGTGTGCATGTAGTATTTGTCCATCTTTATTCCTCTGCAGTATTCAATGGATAGATCACAACATACTTATTTGTTCTATTGTTGATGGACATTTTATGTTGTTCCTTGACACTTTCAGGCTGTTACAACTGGTACTTCTACATGTCTTTGGCTTAAAAAAAAATGCTCATTGCTGGTGGGAATATACAAAGGAGTAGACTTACTCGATTTTACAGTATAAGTGCAGTCAGCATCAGTAGTTTTCCAGTTTCCTAAAATTGTTCCAACAGTTTACATTCCTACCAACAATGAATGAAATTTGCAGTTTCTGCCTATCTTTGCTATCATGCAAAGACATTTCCTAATTTTAGTCACTTTAGTGGTCATGAGGTGTACTCTTACACCTTATATTGTGGTTTTAACTTTTATTTTCCTCATTATTAATATGGTTGGGTAACTTTTGAAATATCTAGTGGCCTTTTGGATATCTTTTATGATTTACTCTTAGCCTTTATACCCGTTTTCTGTTATGTTACTTTTATTTTTAAATTCATATTAGGATGTTTTTATATCATTTGTGGAATATTTGTCTTTAAAATTTCCCTCTCTGTAGCTTACATTTTTGTTTTTAATACAGTTAAACGGAGTTATTTAATGCAGTTTAACGGAGCTGTTTTCAGCCTTTCCTTTTTCAAATTTATCCATTTCAGGCTATAATTGTCCCTCTGAATCTTGCTTAGCCTCATCCACAAGTGTGATGTGTTGTGGTGTGCTGCTGCCTCATTCAAAATCTTTCCTAATGTTGTGTAATTTCTCCTTTGATCCAAGGGCCACTTAGAAGTATGTAGCTTAATTTCCAAACATTTGGAGTTTTCTGAGTCATCATTTTGTTATCGATTTCTACCTTCATTCCACTATAGTCAGAGAACATAGTGTGTATTCTTTCATTCCTTTGAAATTTGCTGAGATTTGCTTTATGACCCTAGCATATGGTCAATATTAGAAATGTTGCATGTTTATATGAAAGGAAGACGTGCTCTAATTAGTAGTTACAGTTCAATTTCAGTTTGTTAATAGTCTTGTTTAACATTTTCCATATCCTTACTGGTATTTTTGTTTGCTTGTTCTCCTAGCAGAGAGAGATATGATATACATATATATCTTCTTAGGTCTATCAGTTTTGCTTAGTTTAAGTTACTAGATGCATATAAAAATTAATATTTGTTTTATGTTTTTGTGTACTGACCCTTTTCTTATTATGGAATGATGATTTTTTTTTCTATAGTAAAACTTTTTGATGTAAAGTCTTTGTTATTAATTGAACTAAATCAGAATTTTTTAATGTTAGCATGAATATATATGTGTATGAGTATGCACACACATATATATGCATGCATACACATATAAGCATACATATGTATCTACTTTCAATCTTTCTCTTTTATATTTAAGGTATATCTTAAAGGGAACACTTTGTCAGATATTGTGAGATTGTAGTTATTGATAGATGATATTATCATAGATAATATCAGTTATAGATGTTTTATTTTCTTTGTACTTATCTGCATTTTCTACTAATAGTACACACTAAGTAAATTTAAACATTTAACTTAACTTTCAGAAAAGAGACATAGATTAAAATAGTGAACCTGGTAGAATTATTTATTTGTTCTTATATGTTCACAGTATTTCATATTAATGCCTTAGACACTGAAACTCAAGAACTGAGGATTAAGTCAGATTATTTATGAAAATAAATCCAGTTTTGGCCTTTGGTATAAAATGGAGTTTTAAAATTGAGATTGGAATGGAGTTGTGGAAGTACCGCTTCATAGTCATAGGGGAACTTGGACAGATATTCTAGGTGGCTAAGTCTCCTACCTAAGCAATTTCCAAAATGTTAGACTCTCAGGAACGGGAGTGAGTACTTTAAAAATCTTTCCAAATATTTCTGATCCATCCCTCCTCTCTTCCCTCACTCCTCCCCCAATACATATTCACATTCAGAATCACTAGTATGAAAATAATGAATTAATCATAAGAACTTGAAAATGGCAATTCATTATGCATGGGGTTATCATAAAATATATCATCCAAACATGAGAGTTTTAAGAGTTAAGTAAGCCGGGCTTGGTGGTTCAGCCTGTAATCCTGTGCCTTTGGGAGGCTGAGGTGAGTGGATTGCCTGAGCCCGCGGGTTCAAGACCCGCCTAGGCAGGCGAGACCTCATCTCTACAATAAATTAAAAAATAAAAAAAAAATTAGCTGGGCGTGGTAGCGCGCACCTGTAATTCCAGCTACTTGGAAGGCTGAGGTGGAAGGATCGCCAGAGCCCAGCAGGTCAAGTCTGCGGTGGCCGGGAGCGGCCACTGCACTCCAGTCTGGGCGACAGAGTGAGACTCTAACTCAAAAAAAAAAAAAAAAAAGGAATTAAATGAGGGACTGTTAACAGTTACCCCAAGACAACATTCATAAACTTAAACCAGTGGTTCTCAACTGGAGACAATGTGAGCAATAGCTGAAGATGCTGTTGGTTGTCACAAAGCGCAGCATGTTGCTGGCACCTAGTGGGCAGAGGCCAGCAATGCTGCTAAGCATCCTAGAGTGTACAGGGTAGCCCCTCACAACAAAAAATATCTGGCCCCAAATGTCAAGAATGCCAAGGTTGCAAAACCCTACCTTAGACTAACCAGGCAAGCGAGAGCGCAGCCACTCTTCATTATGGGTAGACAACAATACAGTGATACTTTTCTAGGTTTTGAAAGAATTAGATATTCTTAAATACATCTATTTGGTTTCAAATATATGTGGGTTGTTTCCCTCAATAAAACTTGCTTAAAAATAAGAACCTTAGTGTGCAGCCTGTAATCCTATGCCTTGGGAGGCTGAGGTGAGTGGAATGCCTGAGCCTGAGGGTTTGAGACCCGCCTGGGCAACTTGGTGAGACCTCATCTCTACAATAAATCAAAAATTAGCCGAGCGTGGTAGCGCATGCCTGTAGTTCCAGCTACTTGGAAGGCTGAGGTGGGAGGATCACCGGAGCCCAGCAGGTCAAGGCTGCGGTGGCCGGGAGCGGCTACTGCACTCCAGTTTGGGTGACAGAGTGAGACTCCAACTCCAAAAAAAAAGAACCTTAGTGTGAGTCAGAAGATTTCAGCAAGATCTCTGAGGGAGAAAACAGCCTTTGGAGATAACCCAGGCTTGTATTTGAGTCCTGGTGGCAACACTCAGTAACCATGTGGTTGGGTGAGCTCTTGACCCCTCTGAGCCGTGTAGGGCATTTCAGGTCCAGAGAGTAGGGCTGAGCTTGGGAGGTGACTGAATAGGGAAGCAGAGGGAGCAGGGGAGAACGTTTCTCCTCTTAAGCACTTCTAGAAACAGTCTCTGCAACACCTCCTGTAAGGCCACAGAGTGACAGAGGGCTATGGAGACTGTGATGAGAAGCACTAGAAGAAAGGGAAGCACCATCCATCTGCGGAAGGAAAGATGAGATATCAGTGGCCATCTCAAGACACATAATGAAGCAGATGGAGGTGGCTCCAGGGGTACTTTCTTTCCCACCAGTTTACTTCCCCTCTCCTGCACTCCCCCAAACACAAGAGACACATGTTAACTTATGTCTTCCCAGTTAAAACGTGTGCGAGAAACCGAAAAGCAATGTAAACCTCTCCTGGAAAGGAACAAGTGCCTCGCCAAGAGAAATGACGAACTGATGGCATCCTTGCAGCGCATGGAAGAGAAACTAAAGGCCATCACCAAGGAAAATTCGGAAATGGTATGTATCACAGGGTCTGCAAGACTGCAGCTTTCTTCTTTATAGTACTCCAATAACCTGACTTCTTATTTCTCAGCTTATTTTTAAAATACAATGCTATTTGGATTTTCCCTATGTAAGCAAGGAAGCTTTAAGGAAGAAAGCAAGAAAAGGTTGCTGGCTCTGAATTTCATGGGGTTTCTAAATTTGCAGAGCTGTAGGAGTGCTTCCAGGAATCTACACATTCTCCAAAAGCTCAGAAGTAGAGAAGCAAGGCTTCAGCCACAGAAACCTACTTCTAAGATTTCACTAACATGCTATTTACAGACCTTCACAGCGGGCTCACCTCATCTTCTGAGATGTTGCATAACAGTTTGGAAATAGGTATCACTACTTTTGTTATGGATGGATGAGTGTGTATTCTAATGTACTCTTTAATAGTCTTCCAATATGTCTACAAAAGTCATCAGATGATTCCCGAATGATTTTAACTTATAACAGATAAAACATACTTGAGGGCTTTAGGTGATGTATATGTATTCAACATGGGCCATTTTCAAATTCAGCCAGCATCTCATAAAGTTTCTACAGCTACTTTATATTACCAACTTCTTTTCCAATCCAGAGAGAAAAAATAACATCTCATCCACCCTTGAAGAAATTAAAATCTCTGAATGACCTTGATCAAGCTAATGAAGAACAAGAAACAGAGTTTCTAAAACTTCAGGTCATTGAACAACAGAATATTATCGACGAGCTCACAAGGGTAGGTCTTGATCAATCTGTAAACACTAAGTTGTTTCCAAGGACAAGCAACCAACAAGACATGCACTGAAAGCACTTACTAACTTAGAATTAACCCCAGAGGCCCAAGTTCAAATATTTAAGAGACTGTATTCTAAAAATATTTTATGTTACTAAACCACTTTGCACCTTTTCCATTATAATCCTTTGTTAACAAATTTGGTGACAAAAATAATAATAAGCACATAAAAGAATTCTCAAATGCACTGGTATAGAAGGTGGTATGTGGTGGGGGGTGGGGAGTGTCTTGTAACTGCCTTCCCATCTCAGGATCCTGGGCCCAGAGACTTCATACATGGTCTATGGTGACAAGATAATGTATACCCCTTGTTTCCTTAGCACCTAATTCTGAGTTTAGCACATAGTCACAGTTTAATAAAAATTTTTGGATGAGTAGCAACACCATGTATACATAACAGCTAAAATTTCAGTCCAGATGCCCGGATCATTTCATCAGTACCTGCTTTCTGGGGGTGGTGGGGGATGGGAGGGGCAGTTATCATCCCCATCTGCATCGGGCTGGGTGGGATCTGTGTTCCTGGCAAGGATGGACTAAGACCTGTAGATGCCTTTGCTTTTTCTGCTCTGCCTCTCTGTCTTTATTCTGTAAATGATATCTTTGGTCATTCTCACTTCAAGATCAAACCAAGGCCTAGAGATTTGCAGAACTAGGGGTTCAGACAGTTGTTTATAGAGTAGGGTGAAGAAGATGACTCACTCTCAGGGTGAGAAAGAAAGATGATAACTTGTTAGTCCTTTACAGATTTCTATGTTGAGGATATACTATAATGCATATACTAGATTAGGAGGGTAAAGTAAGTATATATCCATTTTTAAAATTTCAGATGTATTGAGGTTGCATGCTAAAAATATCTTCACTTATAAAAGTGAGAAATCAAAAGCTTAAACAGCACTGGCTGAAACCAGATTATTTGTGGTCTGATGTCCTAATTGCCTCACTTGACTTTCACATCCTAGTAACTCATAAATCTAACAGATTGACTAGTCCAGGAATTTGCCTGACTTTGAGTGTCCTGTAAACTGTAAATATGTTATAGAATTGGGGGCTGGGCAACTCTCTTGGGTCCCCTCCCGCTCTGGGAGCTGTTCTATCCTTTCAATAAATCCTGCTTTCCAAAAAAAAAAAGAATTTGGGGCTATTTAGATACATTGATGACATTGATGAGTCTTTGAGAAAGGTATATATGCCATCTAGTTTAAATGTGTGCAGTAAATACAAGGAGTGCTTAGTGGATCAACCCCAAATTTCCAGGATATCTCCATCTGATGCCAATTTTTACCCAGTCAGCCTGCGCTCTGAGTGTCAACTCAATGGGTCAGCAAGCCAAGCCCCGAAGTGTGTCAACTCGATAGGCTGGCAAGCCAAGCCCCAAGAGTGTTGGTTCTAATGGGCTGGCAAGCCAGGCCCTGAAAGTGTTGCTGATTCAGTGGGAAAGCCAGCCCCCAGAAGTGTCTCAGTTTTGGAGTCTGGCCTTCTGCGGGCAACTCTCCTGGTTCAGCTGGCTTTGCAAGTAGGTAAGCCAGCCTCCAGGGGGTGTGCGACTCTTTGGCTCCGACAATCTTCTGCAGCTCTTGGGGTCTGGGTTGTCTCTGCAGCTCTTCAGGTCTGGGTTCTTGTCTCATGCCCAGGAGGAATGAGGGACACGGACGGATGGCCAGAAGGATTTATTGAGAGAACAGAAAAGTTCCCAGAGCGGGAAGGAACCCGAGGAGGGGTTACCAGTTTGGAGCTGAAACCTGGCGCTTATATAGCCCTAAGACCAAACCGAGTGACTAGCACTAGCTGTGAGCTGATTGGTCGGCACCAGCTGTGCTGATTGGTCAGTACTATGGACCAATCGGCACGAGGTAGGGGCCTAATGTGAGCTGATTGGCACTGAGTTAATTGGTTGTTTTCTATCCCAGCAGTAAGCTTAAGTGAGTACTTAAGCTCTTGTTTGAGAGGCTCTTAGGGGCTTGTTTACCAATGTAAGTGTATCTGTCCTAGAGGCCTGCAGGAAGTTTTACTACTTTATTACGGGGCCGCTCTGGCTGTCTGCCTACCTAGCTTTTTCCTAAGCTGTTTCCTCTCTCACATTCATAGCAAGAATGTATCAAGAAATTGTTCATTGTTTCTAGGTATTCTTTGAGAGTCCCAGAATTCTCTCCCCCAAAATACCAAAGTAAATAAAACAGAAACACTAAATGACTCCAATCAACTAGATATCTGTTCCCCGTCCCATTTTCATGGACTGAAGGTGACAGACAAGAGTCCAAACACAGTCCAAAGACAGCTTCCTATGCATTCAGATGGCTGACAGGAAGAGTAAGGTTTTATATTCGACAGGGAAATAATATTTTTTTAACTCAAATTTAAAGTAATGTTGAATCTGGGAAAACTAAAGAACTGTGCTTTGGCAGAAAATGAGTAACTATTTTCAGAGCTACTTGATTTCAAGTACAAAATAAAGGACTCTGGTCAGAAACAATACAGTTGCTGACCATGAGGCTCTCAGAGCCACACAAGTTGTCAGGAAAATTTTCTTGCTTTGAAAATATTTAAGTGTCAAACCCAAAAGTTGTGAAAATTTACAAAGTAAAATTTTATTCTAAACATAGTGTCTTGGGGGAAAAACAACTGTTTTTGCAAACAAAAAACAAAGAAGATATCTACCGACTCTAGATCTGAAAAGTCCTTCATCTGTTTTCCAGGATCGAGAAAAGCTCATCCGTAGGAGAAAGCATAGAAGGAGTTCCAAGCCAATTAAGGTAATAAGCAAACTAGGTTATTAGCCATTTGCCACAAATAGCCAAAGAGATGAGACTGGACATGAAATTCCAGCAAAGATGTGATAAACCAGGTGTTCCTGGACTGCTGCAGCAAACCATGGGCTGTATTTGCTTGAAGAAAATCTTTTCTCATGGCATTTCTTAGAAGTCAAAAAATTATTATGTTGAGTATTTTAACGTGAAAGGGTTTGCTTTAATATGAGTTTCTCTAAATGGAGATATCACTGGGTTTGATGTAGAAAGGGTTATCTGGCAAGTTAGGGAATCACACCTCAAGAACGTGCAATAGATCATGATGTGATGTCTCCTGTCAAATAATTGATTTAAGTGTGATGCCCAGCCTATAACTGATTAATATATTTTCATTATTTACTTGGACAATATTATTGGTAAGGATACTCCCAATCCACCAGTATCTGAATAGCCTCTTATAATCCACAAAGTTCTGTTATTTTTTCTATTTGATTTTTATTTCTATTTTTACCAAGTACATCATTCGCTTTGTATGTGAGTTGACTGGCAAGATTTAAGATCTGATAATCTTCACATAGATGCCTGGGTTTTCAAAGTCCTTTGATGGTAGTTGAACACTGGAAAAAGTAAATCACATTAACTCATCATGGTATAAAATATAATATAAAAGACGTTCCAGTGTTTCTCTGAAGAAAGCCAAATATTAATGAATCTTTCTAGCATATTTCAAAAGTGAATAATATGGGAGAAACATTTATTGGAATTATTGTGTTCGTACCTATTTTTTAATTTCATTAAGCATGTGTTGAACAATTTGTATTTATATGTTCATTTACATGTATGCCACTGACAGTAATTTAATATTCAGCTTTCCCCACTTTTAGTTGTGACAGTAAATATGTACTTTTCCTCTATGTAGAGGCCTGTTTTGGACCCATTTATTGGCTATGATGAGGACTCTATGGATTCAGAGACATCATCCATGGCCTCATTTAGAACAGACAGGACACCAGCCACTCCTGATGATGACTTGGATGAAGTAAGCTTTTCCATTTCTCTGGTCTTGGGTGATATTGTCATCAAATCTTTCCTTTAATGGGGAGAAAAAGCATTTCACTTTTCATCTCTTTTATGAACGGCACAAAGTGATCTCATGATAATGACCCATTCTGAGACCACACTTGACTTTGTTTCCTCTCAAAAAATAGTCTCACCTATGCCGGGCAACCCTTTCAGAAACGTCTCTACGGTTCAGCTCTATAACTTGAAGACTACTTTCAAAATAAAAGTTGCTCTCCAAATTTCTTCACCTAGGGAAGGTATGAACCAAAGAACAAGCCTAGAAAACTTTTGGATACCATCTAAGACACTGCTGAGCAAAGTACAATGGTGGGCCATCCAATTAGAGTGATGCAGAGGGCTCAACTCCATTGAAAATTCCTGGACCCTATCGCAAAACTCTTTTTTTTTTTCAGTTGGAGTGTCACTCCATTGCCCAGGCTAGAGTGGAGTGGCATACTCACGGCCACCCCAGTGTCAACCTGCTGGGCTATGGCAATCCCTCCGCCTCAGCCTTCCAAGTTGCCGGAACTACAGGCGCATGCTGTCATGCCTGGCTTTTTTTGTTTTTTTTTTTAATTGTAGAGACGAGATCTCACCAAGTTGCCTGGGCTTGTCTCCAACCCATGTGCTCAGAGCCCACCACCAAGCCCGGGCCACAAAACTCTTGACTCAGAATCTTGGGAGTGAAACTTCCCCCATCTATTTCCAAAGTTCCCGGTGGTCTTGTTATGTCCTGAAGTTTAAGACCTAAAGCTATGAGACAGATTTTACCATTTATCTGGGAAAGAGTTTGTTGGAGATGAATGTACTGAAAAGAAATAAGAGTAACATTCTAAGGTATCATTTCTTCACATTTAGATCCAAAATCTAGGTATAATTTTTTTTCATTTGAATAAAAAATTGACTTAAACTTAAAGCTCAAATGGGTAATAATCAGATACGTATAAATAAGTAAATGTTTATTTTGTTAAAATAAACATTTGCATATTTCTGCAGTGTCCCTTTTGAAAGTATTACAGTGTTTGTGTCCACACATATACTCTAGAGTTAAGAATAAAACCAAATAGAATGTTAAGGAAACCTTTTACTTCTATTTAAAAACTGGGCAAATGTTAGTATTTCACATTGAAGACTGGACCTGAATGTAACACAGTTAATTTTTGGCTTTTTAACCTCAAGACTTTAGCAGCTGAGGAATCTGAGCTACGATTTCGACAGTTAACAAAAGAATACCAGGCCCTCCAAAGAGCATATGCCCTCTTGCAGGAGCAGACAGGAGGCATCATTGATGCTGAACGAGAAGCCAAGGTCAGTGTACATCTGTGAGTGTGCTCTGAATTAGCGTGCAGCAGTCATAGTACAAAAGTACCATGAACATAGAAGTATCACCAAGACAGCTTCCCCTGCATTCTTCTCTCCATTGCAGCGTTTGAACTGTTTTGTCTTTTATGTCAACAAACCTTGAATCTGGAAACATTAGAACCAGCTTAGATTAATACTTTTTTTCCTTTAAAGATAGTTGAGTATATAGTTCATATTCTTGCTATTTGAAAACCTACATTTTCAAAGCTAGCCATAATTGAATTTTGGTAATCTCTTTTTTTAGTTTCATGCTTAGAAAAAAGAACTATTATTTTCTCAAAAGCAATAGTTAGCCAGTTTTTTTTTCTTAGTTAATAAATTTGCAGCATTGCATTTGACAACTTGCCAATGATTTTCTCAGGCAATATCTTACTTAACCCTTGTGACAGCCCCCTAAGTCAGGTGTTTTATAAAAGAGGAATCTGAGACTCAGACAGGTTAATTGAATTGCTCAAAATCAAGATAGCAGATGGCAAAGCTGGCATTCCAACTCAAATCTTACTGGATCACATGTTCTTCCCATTAATCGTAACTGCCTCTCATAAGCCTATTTAAAAGAAAAGAAAGCACACACACATTACTAGTATTTAACATTTATTGAATGCTTGCTGTGTTCAGGCATTGTGCTGAGCACTGTACACACATTATCTCTACGATTCTAAAACAGCCCTGTGAGCTAGATAGTATTATTCCTATAATATAATAGTATTATTCCTCTTACACAAGAGAAAATAATAGCTTAGTAGACATTAAATGGAGCTTAGTGAAGTTAAATTATTTGTGAACCTAGCCTTGTGACTTTAGAGCCACAACCACCAGGCCATAACTGCCTCATAGACAAATCTACATGAGCCAGAAGGGAGCATGAACACTCAGTGATTTTATCCCATTTTCTTTTTAGAGGGTCTACAATGCCCTGGGGAATGTTGTAGGAACTACTGCTAGTTGTTGTTTCATGGGAAAGGATAGGTGTGACAGTTAGACATTTTCAAATGGTAGCATGCATACACAGATGCATAAGGGAATGAACTGATTTGGAGGAACAGGCAAGCAATCGTTAGACAGGCGTGTACCTGCATGCCTTCATGTGTATGCCCCAATTCTGTGATATTTTGGTTTTTACTATCAGTACTTACTAAGCATTCTTACCAACATAGGATTGGGCAGTTAAAATAATATCATATGACTTGTTTTTGTGGAGAGTTAATGTGTAGGAACCAGCCCGTCCTCTCTCTGATTCTTCTATCTGAATAAAGTTCAGCATTAAAGTTGAGAAGACTTACCATCCTGAACAAAATACTCTAAAAGAAATCAAGATGTTAGAAAAAGAACAAGAGTAGTTTAAAGAAAAGTAGAAATACAAAAATAGATTATATAGATGAAAGCATCATTAAAAACAAAAGATGTGATTATTTTGACACAAAATTTCAAGTTAATATCAATTCAAGGCTAAAATAAATCTTAGCAAAATGAAGCATAGACTTTTTTTAGACCTGATAAAGGTAAATATATGTTTAATAGTTCAAAGGAATATTCTCCTCTCAATGAAGAATAAGAAAAGGATACCTACCATCACTGATTGTATTTACTCTTTTACTAAAAAAGCTTGTACAGATTTTAAGACCTCAAAAAAATAGGTATATAAGCAGGAAAGAAAATAATTCTTCACAAAAAATAGGATTATATATAGAGAGAATGCCAGAGAATATGAAAACAAATTGCCAGACTAAGCAACATAGGACAACAAGGTTTCTCCACCCAAGATTATAGTATTCACAACAGCGTGCGCGCGCACACACACACATACACACAATTCGAACAGTTGATTGATTGATATTGATTTGAACTTAGGTTTAAATATGGGGCACAAAGTTTATTCTGAAATAATGGAATGAATTTGGAGGGGCGAAATGAGACAAAACTTTACTGAAAAGGAACTCGTTCAAATATAGAGAAAAGTGAGGAATTACAAGGCATATTTAGAAAACAAGGATTTTACCAGCAGGTAAGGTGTAGACTCCAAGGTGACAAGCAGTAGATAAAGTTTGGAAACATAATGAGAGTTCTTGAATCCCAAGCTGAAGAGTTTGAATATAATCCCAACAGTAAAGGAAGTCACAGGAAGTGTTAGACAAGAATTTAGATCATGAAGGTAGCTTTGACAGATTCTTTTGTCATAGAAAACTCTTTTTTGCTCTCATGTGCTGAGTTCTAGTGAAGAGACATGAGAGGAAGAAAGATACTGAATGACCATTTCACTTATTGAGCTCTGGAATTTTGATTTCACCAGGCTCAAGAACAGCTCCAGGCGGAGGTGCTGAGGTATAAGGCCAAAATTGAAGATCTCGAAGCGACTCTGGCTCAGAAAGGGCAGGTAGGCATTTGGTGGCTCTTTTGCAGATGCAGACAGTTCAGTCTGGCCTTCCTCCGGCTCCCCTGTGCATGAGCCACATCCAAGACTCTGCTTGGCTCTCCACAGTGATCTTTTTCAAACTGTCAGAATGTGCAACTCTGAATTTCTGGCCAGTGTGAGCCAGCCACAGCAGTAAACAAGGTTGGGCAGGAGAGACGATGGAGAGGAAGAGGAGCCCTGTACACATAGCCCAAAGCTGGTCTGGGCTGCTGAGACTCAGACCCACCCCTCCAGCTGCGTCCCTTGCCTCTCTGCTGCATTTATGGTCCTGCATTTTAGTGTTTCCATCCATATGTATCTAGCCTGTGTGTATTCTGACCCCTTTCACTTTTTGCCTGTGTGGTCACTTCTGAGTCCCCAGAAGGCTGGTCCTGGATTATTCAGACTGAAAATGGTAGAGGATGAAAAGGGGGTTAAATTTTTCTGGCAACTTGTTAAAGAAGGAGCCAGCAGGGGTGGGCGTCATTTACCAGGCGTTGGCAGGCAAACAAACTGGGCAGACAGAAGACAGCTCTGGCAAAGTGGTTTGACAACACAGGCTCTCTCGTGCCACTCTGAAATGCTGACTGCGCGATATTCTTTGTCAAACAGGATTCACACTGGGTAGAAGATAAACAACTTTTCATTAAGAGAAACCAGGAGCTTTTAGAAAAGGTATGTTGGGCGCAACACCCTAGTGGGGCAGAGGAAAAAGTGACAAGATCCAGGAGCAGCAGGGGGTGCTCTCAGGAGTGGCACAGGGGCCGGGGAGAGGAAGCTTTTCCGGGCTGTGCTGTGCTCGGCTGTGTGCTCACCCACATCCTGTCACCGCCATCACCATCAGTGAAGTGATACGTGTGCATGGCTCTGCGCTGGGCGTTGTGCAGACTGGAAAGGATGTGATCTGAAACCTCCCGATCTGTCAACCATGTTACATATACTGCATGTAGACTATACATGTGTATATACACACACATGCACACATCCTGTGTGGCTGGCCATCTCCCAAAAACCTCTGTGAATAGAACTTGTCATTTTGTGCAAACAAGTGACAGAATGTGACTCCAAGAACATGCCACAACCCAGCATAGACTTGTATTCCCACTTTTAATCTTTTTTGTTAAGCTTGGCTGTTTCTTTCCTTTTTTTTTTTTTTTTAAGGAAAGAATTTTGTTTACATGCATTTGAAGCACAAAACAGTATGCCCAGAAAGTTGACCCACAAACGAAGATACAAAAACATGGCTTAGGTCCAATAGATATTATTAATTTTGCTCATCTGAACATAGGCTATTGATTTGGGGCAATTAATCCTAACAGAGAACATTGTTCATTCAAAAGTGGCTTTTCTTTTGGTATTTACCTTCCACAAATTTAGTGAAAGTTTACAAAATAATGTGATTTTATCCCTGATAAAAACAGAGTTTGAAAACTCATATGAGTAAGGAAAATAATTCTGTAGATCAATCCAAAGTGATTAGAATTATTTATACCAAATTTTTAAAAAGTATTAACAAACAATAAGAATTAACCAGAACCCCTTGGTAAGCATGAGAAGGGGGAAAAGGATGCCCCCCCCGCCAAGTCTGGCAAAGTTGTCTCACTCTGCATGGTATGAGATAGAGCTGATGTGTACATTATATAGATGTATAGATGTGTAGGTGGTATATACATCATACAGAGGGTGGCTAGGTATCTCAAAATTGAGATGTGGTACCCTCAGGAAGGCCTTGTGAAGATTCCTCATTGGCGCTGGTCTGGTCTGTGAATTGCAGCCTGGAAACCACTGATCAGTTGCTTCACTAATCGCCAGACCCAGCAATCTCCCCACATACCTCATTACTGATTCAACACAAGATTCTAGGATAGTGGAATCTCCTTTATAAACTGTGTCAAATTCTAAAAACTTTTGAAAGTTCACTAGACCACAAATTTCTAAGGTAGAGAATTTGAGTTAACAACTTTGATTAATGTCATATAATGTCTCACTATTTCTCCACCTTTATTTTCCTATTAGTCTTGGAGATACCCAGTAATAAGTGTTATTACATGTCTTTGTCATATCAAAAAGTTATCCCTTCATGTCTTCTATCTGATTTCCTTTAGTCTTGATTTCTTTAGGCTAAAGGGAGAGTGTCTGATTTCAAGTGTCTAAGAATAAAAGGACAACAGAAGTGACAGTGAATCCAAAATTTGGCTCCAAGTGCATATATTTGGGAAAGTAAGAGTCATCCTATGATAGAAAAGCACCTGGGTTCATACTTCTAAATGAAACATTTTAAATAGTTACTGAGCATAATACCCACCCATACAACTTATGTCAAGGGAGGCCCAAAACCTACTGTACTTCATAAAGATTTTCTGATCTCTTAAAATCCAAAGATGAGTCAGACACAGGTGTTGTCTATAGGGGGAGGCACATTTTCACACAACTAACTGAATTCCCTGCTTCCCAGCTTATGCTAGAGGTCCCATAAGAAAATAAAAGGAAGAGGTGTCACTTCTGAAGAGGTAGACTGGGAAGGGTGTTAAAACATTAGAGCTTGGTGTTCAAGGAAGTGCAGGATTTTCTCACATAAAAAAGGAGATGGGGAAAACTCTCCAGGGGAAAGATGAGTAGACATAGAGTTCCTGAAGTAGTCAGTTCTTTGGGCAGATCAGGGTTTCAAGACTGTAGTGTGTGTCTGATCACATGTAAGTGTGTATTGAGAGATGACAGTGATAATGTTTAAAACTGGAAAGCTACATTGTATTCAGATTATCAAGTTGTTGAATTCCAAATTAAAGAGTTTGGCTTTATTCTGGAGTAAGTGAAACTCAGCAAAGCTTTGTATATGATGAGAGCTCTTTTAAAAAAATTATTTTCCAGACAACTTGTAACTCCAGAAATGAGAGTGTCAGTTCTCCTTACTTATACCATTAACTCTGGGTTCTAATATACATCTCTGACCTATCACGAGGGCCAGTGAGTGTTCTCAGAGCCACCATTCACAAGAACAGAGATGCCTTCTGGCATTTTTCTCTATGACTCAAAAAACCTGACTGAAGGGTAACTAGAAGAAAAGCCAAAGACCTATTTTATTCACGTGTCCTTGGGAACTGTTTTTCATGGTCTGGAAGACGTCTTCGCTGAATAAATGAACACTACCCATGCTTGCTTTGCAAACTTGTAGGTGCTTTTGCAATACTCTCCTAACCTCAGGATTTACTTTATTAGATAGAAAAACAGGAGGCAGAAAATCATCGGTTACAACAGGAACTACAAGACGCCAGAGACCAGAATGAGCTGCTGGAGTTTCGAAACCTAGAGCTAGAAGTAAGGAGATGATGATGATGATGATGATGATGATGATGATGATGATAAAAATAACCCTAACAATGTACACACCCTGAGCACCTGGAGGAGCAAGGGGTTGAACTAAGCTTTTCAGATTCATATTCTCTTTTGGACCTCAAAGTCACCCTCAAGATCTATAGCTGAGATTAAATGAGCTGCCCGTCTCATGCCTAGTAAATGGGAAAGCCTTGATGTGACTCAAAACTGTATGCTCAGCTACCGTGCTTTCAACACTGCTGCTTTCATAAATAAGACTAATGAATAATTTAAAAAATAGATTTCAAAGCTCCTCAATATTTCATTGCTTTTAAATAATCATGTCCATCCTTCATTGAATTTTGACTCACTAAAAATGTTATTTCAAGAATTATATTTCAAAATGTGGTATATATATAAATATTTTATAGTTAATTTGAATATATAAGTAAATGTTTTAGTCCCTTTTTTATGCAAAAAAAAAGACTAAGAAGCAAGGTAACTTGTTTTAGGAACCACCTCGATTAATCTGACCAAATTGCAGAATTGTTTTTTGTTTTTCCAGTAAAACAAATCAAATCAGATTTGTGGAGTCTCACTTAGGATCTGGTTGAATGTGTGTTTAATATAAGGAAAATTGCCCTCTGCTTTCTCTGTTATTTTGCCAACAATTTCTTCTTGAGGTTATCTCAGATTAGGTCTGGATACAAGGTTAGCAGCAGGCATACAGCAGTGAAGATGAGAAAGTCATCCTTTGTAGCCCATGTACCTTACTCATGAAGCTTGAATGGATTGAATATGCAAGAGGCCATTAGCTGCCATAAAACTTCATGGCAAGACCACTCTCTGTGATATCTCAAACCTAAATATTCTTACAGTTTAAACTGGAACTCCACTCCCCCCATTTCCCTAATCAAAACAATTGCAAGAATGGATGATACCATCTATAAATTTTTTTCCCCTACCTCTTAGTTGACTAGTCGCTTCAGTTGTTTTCCATTAAATTTCAGTATGAACATCTTCAGTTTGAATTTTCCTTTTTTTTTGCCTAACCACATTGATAAACTGCTGAAATAGCATAAAAGAGACCATTGGCTTAGTGTTTAATCAGTTGTTCCTTTTTTAAAATTTGCATATATTCTTCACTGTATTTCAAGGAGAGAGAGAGACGATCCCCTCCATTTAATCTACAAATTCACCCATTCTCAGATGGTGTGAGTGCTCTGCAGATCTACTGTATGAAAGAAGGTGTCAAGGTAGGCAGACGTAACAATGTTTTTATGTGTGTGGACATTAGGAAAACGGGGAATTGGAAAAGAGGAGTCTGCTTAACTGTCATGTCTTTCAGTCACTCTATGTCATTTTGATACAAGATACATGGGAATTGAAAATAGTCGCATATACTGGAAAATCAATGAAACATAAACCAAAATGTGTGAGGGATGTACAAATGGTAACAGCAGATAACACGGGCAACCATGATTATTTAGAACAGAGTAGCAGAAAGAGTGATGCAGTATCAAAATATTTATTGAGATAATTAGCCTTAATTATCTAGGAGAAGGATGAAATACATTTAACACATATTTAAAAACTTATTTCAAGTCTGCCAGATAAAGTATTTGTTGAGTCCCCTTGTCATGCCATTCTCAGTGCTGTGGAATTCATAATTGTGGAATGTCAGAGTTAGAAAGGACCTTAAAACCACCTAGTCTCCATGTCTTTTGATATGTTTAATTTAGGGAAGATTTCTCTTTTGGAAGGACTTACGGTTTATAACATGTTGCTTATTAGATAAAATATAATTATCTCTTTAGTGCTACTGGTTACGTTTTAAATATTAAAATTGCATTGAGGTAGCTTTGTCTCCCAGGAAACATATTGTCCTTCTACTGTAGTGAGATCACAGTGTGAATGTGTGTCCCCAGCGCAGAGCTAGGACGCCTCTTGCTCTTCCGGGCTCTCCTTCCACTTCTGCATGGCCCTTCCTGCTCCCACGCTGAGCTGCCAGACAGATATGCTGTAATTGCCTTCTTTCTACCTAAGAGTGAGCTCTTTCCCTTTCCAGGCAGTAGGGCTCTGCTCTACTGCTGTTTGAATACAAGTAAGAGCAGGACATGGGACTAACAAAGTGAAAAGTCAGGGGAAAACTGTGTAGTAAAACTGCTTCTTTATCTTCCATCTGAAACCATTTCCAAAGTGTTTAAACTTGCAGCCTTCCAGACTGCATGGAGATTTGTAAACCAAAGCAATTGTTTGATTTCTGCTTAATTAACTGAAAAACAATTCACTTTGTCTTTTACTTAGATGATTTTTCTTAGGTAAATCACAAACAACCTAATCCAATGGATGTGACTTATATCCAAGAAAACTCTTTCAGATGGAGTTCTCCTGCTTCAAATTGACTAAGGAATCGAGTAAATACAAGCTGTTTTCCACAGGATGAAATTAATGCTAAACATCTAAAAAAAAAAAAAGGAACTGCACTATAGTTTTCTGTATGGCAGTCAAAAATCAACTAGGTCAGGAATATGCTAACTAGAATGAAATTGGTTGATTTTTTATTTTTATTATCTAATACTGTATGCCTGAATACAATCATAATTGAAAAAGAATTTGGCAATTAAGAAAAAGAATTAGTGAGTATATTGCAAGTCCTTACTACATGCTAGACTCTTTCCTACACAGTCTCTTTGTTCTCAAGATCAGCCTATGAAGTAGGTATTCATTTTGCAACTAGCAAAATTAAGAATGAACTGTTAAGTCATTGGCCTCAGTTCACGCTGCTCTTAAGCATCAGCGTAGAAACTTAAAACCAGGTGTTTCTGATGGAAACCATTCAAGGAGGTTCAGGCTCTGAAATGTTTTCCTCTGGCTTTATGTTCAGGCACTGAGGGAAGAGTCAACCATGTTTGTCTCTGACTTGATTGCCTCTCCTTGATTTTGCAGGATGTGAACATCCCTGACCTCATAAAGCAACTTGATATCTTGGGTGATAACGGGGTGAGTAATGAATTGACTGAGTATAGTGTAGACATGACTCTGCCTAAACAGACAGGAAGCACTTTCCAAATGCACCATGTGTGAATGGGAGTAAATGAGAGGCCATGTTCACTCAAGGCCACAGCTCCCTGAAAGAATCCACAGTTGATCGGACAACCTGGCTGAGTGCTCGGAAGGGTCTCTGGAAGGTAGTAGAAATGAGACCATGGAGTGCTTCTCATGGGCAGGTTTCAAGTTTGAATGCCGACTGCATCTGCAGTGATTAAAGCTAATGACTGTCTGACTGTGGCTCAGAGGCATCTGGTGTGAAATTAATCAGCCATGCAACTGCAGACACAATACTAGGGTTGTTGGTAGCCCCATAGAAATGGGCCATAAAGCCGTAATCTATTTTCTCTCTGAAAACACCTTCCCGACAGGATCAAGGCATATTAATTTAGGGAGGACATTCATTGTGAGTGATGCAGATAGGTATAAGAAATCACTGCTTTTCCCCTTGAAGTATCAAAAGGAGAAAGCAGAATTAATAAAATCTTCAAAATTGCTATTACGAGATTGCTCTTGAATTCATTTTGGTTTCTGTCTTCTCCTAACATGACTATTAATGAAGTATGTTTACAGTAACACAAAGTCAAATATTAACGAAATGTAAAAAACCACATTTGCTGTACTTCTCTCAGGTTTTGAATGAACTCTTTGATAAGAGTTATTACTAAACGGAGTAGGAACTCACCAAGATCCCATGCGTGCACATGTGGTGCTGTCTGTGACTGGCAGGCAGGGCTTTCTATAGTGTCCATATCATGTGTTTCTTTAGCTTATTTCTTTTGTTCTTTATTTTCCAGAATTTAAGAAATGAGGAACAAGTGGCCATAATTCAGGCCAGCACTGTGCTGTCCCTGGCAGAGAAGGTAAGAGTTGTGCTAACAATTCACGTCATCTCCTAGTCTGTCATACATGCAACGTGCAGGGTAGTGTGTGTAGGGTGTTTCCTTGCCCACAACTTCATGTCGTTGAATATGTGATACACATTTATTTTTAAGGATGACTCAACCCAGATAGAATGAAAACACACAAAAGAAAAGTGTACACACTGATATGGGGTTGGGGGTAATTTTTACTTTAAAGTCCCTTAAACATGGGAAACTCACCCAGAAGAGCTGTGTGAAGAGGCAGGAAGCTGGAGCCCCACTCTTGTCAGAGACCTTTCATGGTGTGTTTGCTTGCCAGTTCCAGCTAATCCTGGGGCTGTGAGGTAGCTCCCTGCCACCTTATCCAGAGCCCAGTGTGGGGACTATCAGGACAAAACCAACACTGAGGGTGCTCTGCTAGGACCATTAATGGCAAGACCAAGAGAAGCCAAGTGAGAGGCCAGGTGACTTGTATTCACAGTGCCTCTGGAAGCAGTGCAGAAAGCTGGTAGGTGGTACATGTGGTCTCCCAGCTACTAAGAGGCCCAGGCAGGAGGATTACTTGAGCCCAAGAAGTCAAGCCTGTGGTGATCTGTGATGGCGCCTGTGAATAGCCACTGCCTGGGCAACATGGTAAAATTCTATCTTTAAAAAAAAGAAAATAATCAGCACATAGTTGAAAGTCACGTGCAAATGTTTGGATAGAATGAGAGCAAGCAGTCGGTTTTCTCTACTCTGAAGTGAAGGACTTCTAAAGGTCAAATGACACAATTGAGTTACTCAAACAAAATAGTGACATAAAAAATGAGGGAGTAAGAAAGAAGTATTACTATAAAATAAAAACATACTTAAGAAATAATTAAGTAATTCTTTTTTGGATCCAAATTTAAGCAACCCAGGTGTTTTTTGGTTTTTTAAGGGCATTTTGCCAACAACTGGAGAAATTTTAATATGGACTAGGTGTCAGATGACAAAAGGAATTAATGTTAATTTTGCTAAGTGTGAAAATTGCCTTGTGGTGATTTTTTTTTTTTAAAGAAAGGCCCTATCTGTTAGACATGCATATTGAAGTATTTACTTGTGAAATGACATGAAATCTGGGATTTTCTCTTTAAAGAAAACTTTCTTCCTTCACAGTTTAATGACAGACCTGATTACTTTCTTTCTCCCCTCCCCAGCAAATTAATAATACCACATTGTCCCTAACAGAAGGTCTAGAATCCAGAATTTGGCAAGTGGACCCTCTGGGATTTGACCCTTACCTGGCACCCCTTCTCTCTCCCTCTCTCCTCCCCTTTCCCCTCCCACCCTTGGTCCTTTACATTGTTCTCTTGACCTGGAAGATATTTCCATCTTCCCTTCCGCCATCAGGATTTCCACACATAGGAAGCCCTTCTAGTCACGCATGCTGGGCTGAGTATTCCTTTTCAGTGTTTCCACAGGGGCCTGTGCTTCTGCTCCCATGACTTCTAACAGTTGTGTTGTACTGCCTGTTGGCATCTGTTACACACACACAAACACACACACACACACACACACACACACACACACACACACACACAGCTATACTCCCATCTAATTACCACTGGACTCCAAGCCCCATCAGGGCCAATGTGGTATTGGCTCCCCCTGCCTTTTATGCTTGAGGTGATCATACCAGTCCAACACATGTGATAGATGATCCATACATGAGGACTGAAGGAATGAAGGGGTGAATTTGTGAATATCCACAGGACCCCATTCCAGCAACACAAAAGGAGACACAATGATGAAGAGCACACAGTCTGTACCTCCACTTCTGCATTTGTTTGGCAGTGATAGCCAGAGAGTCTCATTCAGTCAGAGTTTTGAAGGGCTGCAGTTCTTCATTGTGAAGAAAAAAATCGCTTGGTTTAGGGCTGCAAGGAACTGGTTCGATGAAAGATGAGGACCAGGGAGGGAAAAGAAAGAGAAAATAACCCCATGTGCCTAATGTTTTCTGAGTTGAAAGAAGGTCTTCCATCCTCTGCCTGCGTGGGTAGGGTGTCACTGAGGTTAGTCAAAACCAACGCCAGCACAGTCTTCTTTTGAGCTTTTGATGTCTAGAGAAGCTAGGTAACTGCCCAAGCTCACACAGCGGGAAGTTGATGGAATCAGGATTCACAACTATGGTCTGGTTCCTGAGTCTTGACGATTGCACCAAATTCCCCTTCCATGCCCTATAAAAGTGGGAGGCAAGCTTTGCAGAGCGCATGGGAGCTGAGCTGTTAGAGCCCTGGCAGATTCTCCCCTACCTCTACTTACCTCCTTTGCAAACACTGGGCAAACTTGTAGGCAATCACCTGAGTGATGACTGTGTGTCCAGCATTGTGGTAGAAAACTAGGTTCTCAGTGAGCAAGCCTGCCCTGATGTGTCACATCTGCGCCGCTGCCTTTTGTGCAGACCTTCACTGTGTGCAGATTAGAATCACCTCCTGCCTCTGGGATTCACAGATAATTTCTGCTTCCAAGTAATTCCAAGTGTCAACTTTGAATTTTCTGAGGCTACCAATTTGAATAGCATTCTGCTATATGGGTGCGTGATCTTTAGCCTGCACAAAATCCCATCAAGCCAGTCAGTTGTGTCTTTGTATTAAAAGTAATAGCAATGCCCTCGAGTGACGACATAACATGGGCTGGGTACTATGCTAACACCGTGCATATATCAGCGCACTGTTCCTCAGGACCATCCTGCAGGTACCACGATTTTTTTTATTTGCATGAACATAAGGGGTGCATGTGCATTTCTGTTACATGAATATGTTGCATAGTAGTAAAGTCTCGGCTTTTAGTGTATCTGTGACCCAGGTAATGTACATTGAGGTGCCACTATTTTTATTTTACATATTAGGGAACTAAGGCTTGGGATAGTCAGTAACCTGTCCTGGGTTACACAAGTAGGAAGAAGGAGGAGTCAACACACAAATCTATAGCTACAGCTCATGATTTAACAACTTCTGTTCACAGTGCTCTTAAAAGCATGATTAAAGCAAAATGTTTCCTGAAGACAAATTGGCAGCAAGCAAAAGGAAGAATTTTAATACTGACTGACCATGTGCCCTTTACAGAACACCATTTACAGAACACCATTTACAGTACCCTTGCAGTAGGTCCATTTATAGGGCTTATTACCGAAACTGGTCAAGGGGATGCCACGTATATGTACAAAGAACCAAGAAGTGAGCTCCTTTGCAGTCAGTCCCAGCATGCCTTTTTTCTTTCACCATGTTCCCCGTGGCAACGGGGAGGTTGGGTGTGGGTCTCCTCATAAATATCGAGGTTCCAGTCTATAGACATGCTCAGTGCACTGGTTATTTTATCACAGACAGACTAAAAGGCACTGCCTGGTAGTGGGTGCCACTGGCATATGCGGTACCAGGCAGACAGAGCCTCACAAGATTTACCTCCTTTCATTTCTACATTGTTACTAATCCCATTCTACAATTAAGAAACTTGACACTTAGAGAAATCGGGTAGCCTTCCAATGCTACCCACCCATGAAAAGCTGAAATTGAAATTAGAGCCAAAGCGGTTTCTCTCCAGAGCCGCCCACGCCATTGTGATGCCCCGTTGCCTCCCCAAGCTATAAGCTGACACTTAACTTGATGGAAACCCTTTATAATAATTTGTTCTATTAAACCGTACATATTATTTAATGTCTTAACTCATTCAGGGTATTTATTACTGCTAATATCAAAACTATATAACAGAATGATACATTCTGAGTATTAGGAAAGACACTCAGAATATCTGATTTTAAATGTCTCTACTTAACAAAAAATAATTCCCACTTTGTTGAAATCAGTTTTAATATTGAAAAATTACCATTTTTCAGTCTGTCTGGGCTTCTTTCTCATATCATGCTTCCTCCAGCTGTGGAACTATTGGACATGATGACCCTTCTGCTGGGAACATCCTCCTCATTTTTTTTCCAGCCACTGTCACTCAGTCTTCAGACCCCAGTGCAGTGATCAGCTCTGAGAAAGCCTCCATGGTGTCCTCCAGTGAGGGCAGAAGTCTTGTTAGTCTTGCTCAGCTCTGAAGCCCTAGTAGCCAGTGTGACACCTGATAGTCACCAAATGTACCTGTTGAATGAATGAACAAAGGCTATAGTCTTGTTTATGACTAATTGATAAAAAATGTGGTAAATGTTGACTTCACGCCTCAGTCTGCTTTCTGAGGTATAAGGGGAAGAGACTGAACACCCAGTGGACAGTTCACAGTTTGATATGGATGCCATATCAAACAATCATGCCAAACACTTTTGTTTTGTTAACTCTATAGTGGATACAGCAGATTGAAGGAGCAGAAGCTGCCCTGCACCAGAAAATGATGGAATTGGAAAGTGACATGGTGAGTACAAACATGAGGTATTAGAGCAATTAAGAAAAATGTAGCCAGGCTCGGTGGCTCGGCCTGTAATCCCACGCCTTTGGGAGGCTGAGGTGAGTGGATTGCCTGAGACCGCAGGTTCAAGACCCGCCTGGGCAGCAAGACCTCATCTCTACAATAAATCAAAAAATCAGCCAGGCGTGGTAGCGCATGCCTGTAATTCCGGCTACTTGGAAGGCTGAGGCAGAAGGATCGCCGGAGGACAGCAGGTTGAGGCTGCAGTGGCCAGGAGGGTGCCACTGCACTCCAGTCTGGGTGACAGAGTGAGACTCCAACTCAAAAAAAAAAAAGAAAGAAAGAAAAATGTACAAGGCAAATGGAAAATGAAGTTGTCCTACCACTTTGATGTGGCACTGATGAAATTGCGTCATCTTTACATTATTTTGTTTCCATTATTTTGTATATAGACCATGGGAAAAAATTGCCAGAAGTATCCAACAATTTCAAGTTATAGCCTTCCCCCTCAAACATGCTGTACTTTGGAAATTTTCCAAACCTAATGCTTCAATTAAGTACCCAAAGAAGGAGTGGACTTGTACTTGGACCTATGTTGTACACAAAGATGCAGTTTTACATGTGAATGGTGAATGCTCCTGAGAGGAGAGGCACACAGAAACTGAGAGTGTCAGCCTTATGTCTCCCAGCTCATACTGCTGTGTGGCAGGGCACACACCATTCAGAAGTGGTGTATGGGGGGATCCCACCCACTCTTGACATTGTTACTTGTTTTTGTGTTTGCTGACTGTATGCATCATGCATCTATCACAGTGTATAAGTTAAACTTATTTATCATATAATCCTGCTATGTTACATTTTATAACATTCTTACAAAAAACATAGTATCACGATATTTTTACACAGGTAGACTTGTTATTTAACACTTGTCAAAATCTATATTGATCTATACACTCATACAGGCATTCAAAATCTTTTAGAGCAGTCCATGTGGTTTTTTTCATTCTTTTTGCTTCTTTCCATTTATTTTAACCTTACTTGTGTGAGACCTTACTTGAATGATCTCCCTAACAGACAAAACCCATGACTCTACAAATACCAATGACTGGTCGTATGGTAGAATAGAGAAAACATTAATCAGTGCATTGTTTATGTCACTTTCTAGTTAATTAAGCTGACTCTATCAATATGGCTCTTTATTACAGGAACAGTTCTGCAAAATAAAAGGCTATCTGGAAGAAGAATTAGACTACAGAAAACAAGCTCTTGACCAAGCATACATGGTAGGTACAACAAGCAATGCAGACACTCCAAGTCTTTACAGTTATAGGCCATGGGTAAAGTATCCTGTTTAATTTGCTATGTTATGTACCTGAATAGACTACAACATGCATGTCATTTATTTATTGGTTTCTAGTTCTAATTTTAGAACAAGTACATTCCTTGATTTTTGCAGTTATCATATTCTTATAATATCTAATATTTCATTGTACTTCATTTTTAACAATAAAGTATCTGTTAGATAATATTTAGATGAAGGACAGATGGGATGGCAGTGTAGATTAAGGAGAAATTTTATTAAATCAAATCCAGTTGTTTAAGGGGTCTGACGTAGTGGTCGAATAATAATGTGTTTAATATTTGTTATGCATATTTTAGCTCATTTATTTCTCACAACAACCCCCTGAGGTATTGGTGAGTTTGGGGGTTGTTGTTGTTGTTGTTGTTGTTGTTGTTGTTGTTTTTAAGTAGAGGTCCTACTCTGTCACCCAGACTGAAGTGCAGTGGTAAGCTCACGGCCACCCCAGCCTTGACCTGATGGGCTCAGTTTATCCTTCCGCCTCAGCCTTTCAGAAGGTGAAACCACAGGCGGGTGCCACCATGCCCAGCTAATTTTTTGATGTATTGCAGACACAAGGGCTTGCCAAGTAGTCCAGACTGGTCTCCAACCCCTGGGTTCATGCAATCCTATCACCTTCTCCTTCCAAAGTGCTGGAATTACAGGCGTGAGCCACAATGCCTAGCCTAGGTGAGATTATTATTAGCATCTTACCTATGAGGAAAGTAAGGTTTGAAGTTACAAGAGCTTTGCCTGAATTGGTGAATGTGTATGTATAGGTCTGACTGTAGACCCTACAGCCTTGCCTGCCATGATCAGCCACAGCAAGCAGGGCCTCATTGGTAACGGGCAGAAGATGATGCCAGTTGAGGAGCACACTGCACCCATTCTCTCCCACCCAGTTCCTATCACAGTGCTTCCAATATCGGACTCCAGCCTGATTTATTCTCTCCTTCTGCCCTACCCCAGTTAATTCACAGTAATGAATCAAAAGGAAAAGAGCAAACTTAAGGAATATTCCAAGGAGTTTATAGCAGAGGTTTTTCTATGGCTTTCTTAGAAACAGCCTGAATCAGTTTCAGGAAAGAGTGAAACACTCAGCTCCTACCTTAACCGAGTTGGGTTAGAGTCCCCTCCCAGAGGAACAAGAGATTCCCAGATTGTTGATGGGAGGGAAGACCATGTGACCTGGTCGCTGCTTAGAGAGCAGACAAGGAGGTGAGGCTTGTCTCCCTCTCTGCCCCCACCCATGCCTCTTTTACCTGTATGTAGTCAGTGGTGCTGTGTGTTCATGTGGCTCCCAAGACTGTTGTTCACTTTTAAAGAATGAGATTCATTCCATCCAGGACAAGAGCTAGGGAAATATCCCACCAAAGTGTATCCAGTCACTCTGTCAAACTTACAAGGGACAAGACCATAGATTTTGGCAACTGTATCTGAAGTAAAAAAAAAAACAAGCTGGGCTCTGTGGCTCAGCCTGTAATCCTGTGCCTTGGGAGGCTGAGGTGAGTGAATTGCCTGAGCCCACGGGTTCAAGACCCACCTGGGCAACTTGGAGAGACCTCGTCTCTACAATAAAAATCAAAAATCAGCCGGGCATGGTAGCGCGCACTTGTAGTTCCTGCTACTTGGAAGGCTGAGGCTGAAGGATCGCCGGAGCCCAGCAGGTCAAGGCTGCGGTGGCCAGGAGCAGCCACTGCACTCCAGTCTGGGCGACTGAGTGAGACTCCAATTCAAAAAAAAAAAAAAAAAAAACCGAGATGTAAGAGGCAGTTGACCCTTCATCTATAAAAGAGAAAACTCAAAGAGAAATGTTGTAGCAAGAGCAACCATAAATCTCAGAGAATTAAGAAACAGATCAATTTCAAGACTCTAGGTCAGTTTGGGATTTTATGTACCAATTTTATTTCACATAAAAAATGGAGACCATAACACCATCTTCAAGTACAAAGGTTTGCCATGTAGAAGAGGGGTATTTGGCACATTAAATGTATCTCCATTTTCAAGTATTTTGTTCCAACTTAGACCACTTATTTCTGGAAATATGGCCACCATTATAGATGTCTTTAAAATATCCAGATGTCTTTAAATATCCATGATAGATGTCTTTAAAGGTTGCCAAGTAGAAGAGAGAACACACTTGTTCTCAGCCACATTTGAGAATAGGAACGAGGTATAGCTATAGCAAAGTAAGGGCTTTCTAAAAATAAAAAGTGTATGCAGTGGGCAGGATCCCGAGGAGTAACCAATGTCCCCTCACTGGATGACCCTTACAGAATCTCTTCAAGGGGGAATGTTCAGAAGGATGGTTAGGCTGGAGAAGCTTTGAAATTTATGTTCTTGCTAAACTCCTGTAAGACTAAAGTATACATCTAAACACATGGGTACATGCCTAGTGTACATTCCCACACACACATAAATGCCAAGTTCCAAAGTTAGACTTCTCTAATTTTATTTGCCAGAGAATCCAGGAACTAGAAGCTACTTTGTACAATGCTCTGCAGCAAGAAACTGTTATTAAGTTTGGTGAACTCTTGAGTGAAAAACAGCAAGAGGAACTGAGGACAGCAGTAGAAAAGTTGCGGCGGCAAATGCTAAGGAAAAGCAGAGAGTATGACTGCCAGATACTTCAAGAGAGAATGGAGCTTTTGCAGCAAGCCCACCAGGTGAGGACTGGGCCACCATGTCTGTGTGGGGCTAGTTCTAAGCAAATGAGATTTCATGTTAAGGATGCAGTAAGTGTGGATGTGGGAGATGTAAGTCATTTTCAGAGATTAAAGTAAATAACTTGTTTTCCGCCAACACTCAGATAAAGGATGACAGTTTTGTCTTGACTCGATCTTGAGAAAATTGGCATTTCACAAGCATTGCATACTATTTTTAGAACAACTGTTTCATGAAATACCCCTTTGAAGCTCATGGAACCTGACACTCTCCTTTGTGCAGCAAAGTGGGGCATTTCCCAGGGCAGAATCGTGCTTCATCCTATAACTCACTCCAGGCCATAACTTCACCTGGTCGAGTCATCTGAACGGGCACAAGAAAGCAAGGGCCTTTTTCTCTATTCCCAGAACAAACAGCAGCAACACAGTACCAGGCAGCTGTGTTCACTTACTGGCATTGGCTGAATGTCAGGAGTTAAATAAGGGCTGAACTTACATCATTTCATTTCATCTTCATGGTAGCCCTGGGAGTAAGTCTTCTTATTGTCCCCGTTTCAGAGGTAACAATACTGAAGATGAGAGAGCTTAAATGACATGCCCAAGATGACACAGACAGGAAGCAACAGAGTCAAGATGACAGTCCCACCTGCCTACCCCAGGGCCAGATGCCTGTCCAGTGCCCTGCAAGTCATCTGTGACTCACAAGCTTCCTCTAGGGCAGCAAGTTTCCAAGTAGGCACCCAGTACCAATGTCAGTCAAAATTCCAACTCTTTGTTCATATCATAGCTTGACAGGTGAGGGCTGGGGCCCTGGTCAAGAGGCAGATTCAGGAAGAATCCTAGAATTTAAAGTGTGAGGCTACAGTATTCAGTCCTCAGAAGCTGTAAGAAGCAACCGGTATGAAATACAGGGGGGACATATAGGAGGTAAGAATCATGTGGTCAGAAACGATCAAGGTGAGTAGACAAGGAACAGGGGTCATTTTATGATGCCAGTCAAAACATGTCATGGGGGCAGCATACTTGAGATGCCACCAGGAGCTTTGTTCATCTTAGTAGGCTAACAGAGTACACACGTCAGCAGGGGACTCTTTAGCGTCTGTCCAGTGATGACCCACACGTGTGTTTCTGTTGTGCCCTTTCAAATTGCACCACAAAGGTTTGGGTTTTGATCCATGGAAAGAGTTTTTAAGTTTTTAATGTGCCTTTAATAATAGACACTATGACATGATTGCATTTCTTCATGCATTATTTCCTTCTATCAGAGGACAAAGGTGTCCTCTGCACAAATTATAATTAATTTCAACAAATTGGGAACTATTTCATGGAACCACAGAAGTGTTTGCTTTTAAGATGGACTAATAGTTTTCTAAATGTATTTACCATAAAAACCTCACCCCATCTGAGTCTCTCTTTAACCAGTTGGCTAAAGTACTTTATTCCTAGAAGGGCTGCCTCTGTTTGTTTTAAGTTGCCCAGTCTGAGCTGATAGGCACAGTACATTTCTGAGCCTCAGAGAGTTCCGTTGACATTTTCCATCACTAGAGGCATTTCCAGTTATTTCTTACCTTTCTCCTTCCCTCTTAGCCAATAACTTAATTCAGAGAATTATTTCAGAAGATATTGACCAGGATTTGTCATGTGTGATTACATAATGCAGTCTAGCTTCTAGAGCATATCACTAGCTGTTTATTAGATGTTTCTGCTTGAAAGTTTCAGAGAGAACTCAAGTGTGCATTCCTGTCCTCACCTTTCTCCCCACTTGCCTGCCTTGGTCAGTAGAACTACCATATCCCAAACTACTCAGGCTGGAAACGCTGGAGTGGTCTCTGTCATTTGCCTGCAAAATACAATGTAGCACCACATCCCACTGGTACTTCCTCTGAAATGCCTTTGAACCTGTTTGGCTTTGTTGACCCGCATGACCCTGGGCATGTGCTGGGCCTTCGGTCATTGTGCCAGCTTCCAGACACTGCCATGCATTTTCTACGTCAGTCTGACTTTATCATCAGTGCACTTATTCAGTGAGGTCTTTCAACACATTTACTAGGTGCTGGACATAGACAATTCACTGTGCCTTCACAGAACTTAGGATCTGGAGACAGAGACTAAGAAAAATAAGGATGACCTATAAAGAAGCACATGCAGGTCCCATGGGTACCGAGTTGCAGCTTCCTCTCTTTGGTTCACCATGCACATCACCACAGACTCTGCTCGCCTTTCCTCATGGCACATTCTTGCCCCAGAGCTTCCATGGTCCAAGTTTCCAGTTGAGTCCAATCGGTGCTGGTCTCTTCAGTTCCCTCATTAGCATGCCACCCCTCCCCCCAAAGCCTGATCTGACTCGGTCTCTTACGCAAAGCTTCCTGGTGCCCCTTGGGCCTTGGTCCCCACCCCTGGTCCTTGCTTGCATGAGTGCTCACCCTAAAATGGCCATTAGTTTCCACAGCATTGGTCCAAACTTTCTTATTTATCCAGGCCCAGTTTGAGATCCACCTCCTTCTGGATTTTCTCCCTGATGAAAACAAAACTGCACCACATACTGCTGGAAAGACATCTATGTTTCATGAGTTACATACTCATTCAAAACCATTTATTAAGGACCTACTGGCAATGTGACAGTGAACAGAGACAAAAAGATCACAAGGGACAAAGCCACAACACAAATGAACAATAACTAAAGCAGCTTCAGAGAGTGGCAGTCACTGCTATGAAAAAAATTTTACAATGTGTGTGAATATATGTGTGAGTTTGGGAGTAGAATTGCTTGTTTTAGACTGGCTAGCCAGAGAAGGCCTCTCTGGAGATGTCTAAGATCCAAGGAATCAGCTACCCAAGGATCTTGGCAAACATTCTAGAAGACAGGTACAGCAAGGGCTAAGTCCCTATTGTGGAGCTAAGTTTGCAATATTCAAGGAACACAGAAAAGGCGAGTATGTCAGGAACACAGAGAGCCATGGGAGGTGAGGCTGGGCAGCAAGAAAAGGTTAGATCATATAGGACCTTGCAGAAGTTTGGTTTTTATTCTGCGTACAGCTCAGCTAACTCCTCCTTCCTCTCCTTCCTCAGCCCCCTATATTCAGGGGACTGTGGTGAGCATTTTGAGAGTTCACACTGGCTGCCTGGATGGATGTCAGATGGTGGAGATAAGAGGCAGGAAGAACCAGAAGGAGGTTCCCGTACCAGTCTCAATGAGTGATGACAGTGACTTGGTATATTTGGTGGCAGGAGAGATAAAAAGAAGTAGTGAGGAAAGCACTCTGTCTTGGGCCTGACAAGATTTCCTGTTGGACTGGATGGCAAAGGGATAGGAAAGAAAAATAAACCAAGCATACGTCATACAGTGCAGCATAACAAACTCATGTAACAAATATGTGCGGACAGCTTCCCCAGCTAAACACTCACTAGGAATTGGAGATTGGGGATGATGTTGTACATGGGTTTTGCCCTCATCTGTCTTTTCTGCTTAATTTTACTATCCCATCTGCAGCTGATAGTTTTCTGCAAGTAGGCACTCATGGGTGTCTCATCTGTGTTGTCTACTCTAGCCAGCACAGTCTTGAGCATGGAAGGAGGGCCCCACAAGCATAGACCTGAGGGCTGCATAGACACTGCAGAAATCTCACACGTTCATGATTTTGTTAGCATAATACTTGCCTCCATTCCCAGTAGACATGCCAAGGAATTACTCACACACTCCAGGTGAATATGTCTAGCACATTTATTCTTCTGCTATGTAGCTTTGGAGCATAGACAGCGTGATGGAGACATATAACAGTATACACATCACACACACGTTTATGCACCATCCACATTCCAGCCCATTCTGTCTCCAGCATTCATTGTCTATAATCTGAAGGTCAGCCGTGATGGTTTCACTCTGACCAAAACGCACCATCCCCCCTGCACAAACCTCAACTCCTTCCCTTTCAAGTAGGGTTTCTCAGTCTCAGCACTACTGGTGTTTTGAGCCAGATAAATCTTCATTCTTTATTGGGGGCCAGGAGGCTATTTTGTGCATTATAGGATATTTAAGTGCATCCCTGGCTAGTATCCATGGATGCTAGTTGCACACACTCCCCAGTTGTGACAATAAAAAAAATGTTCAGGCAGTTAGATACTGGTGATGGTTGTACAACCTTATGAATATACAAACAACTGCTGAATTATACAATTTAAAATAAATGAGCATATTAACTAACTTAAAAAATATCCAGAAATTGCCTAATGTCCCTGCGGGGAGGAGGAGGGGGCAGGCAAAATCATCCCCAGTTGAGATCTACTGTTTTGGAGAGAAGGAGATATAATTTCCAAGTTCAAGTATCTTTTGTTCTAGCTTTCCTTTTTCTCTCTATATTGTGTTATAAAAACCTCTCTCTGTTATCACCCCATTTGGCTACTAGTGTTTTCTTCTTAGACCCTAGTTCTCTATTTTCTAATTATTTCCAACGGAGATATGAAATAACCATCTGCACAAACACATAAAATCTTTAGATTTCCAGGTATAAAAGTGAAGACTTTATTTTACTTATAAATAATTGTCTGTGTAATGTTGATTCAAATCTGTGCTATGTAAATTAGTGTAATATAGTTACACACTTGACAGGTAAGTTCAAAGATAGTCCTGGAGCTTTTTGTCTTTAGGGTTACCTGTACTATTTTTGTTATGTTCTGGTTTTGTTTGTTTGTTTTTTCCTAATTTATCAATTCCCTCTTGGGAATTTTTGCTGAAGTGTAATCTCTCTTTTATGAGAATTGACCATTTCTGTTTTGTGAGGAAATTCTACCCTGAAACAGCATTGAAATATGGTTGAAAAAAAGGTTAGCAAAGAACAGGGAGATGTTTATGTGTGGATGAGTCAGGTTTCACCATCTTCACTGTGGTGATAACAACCAAAAATCTCAGTCCAAATAGCTGACACCAAAGCTTGTCTCTTGTTCACTAGTTCTGGGACATGATGCTTTCTCGACAAGGATGTGATTTCCCACACGTCACTCCAGCTCACATTCCACCAGCTAGAGCTGATCTCCTAGCCACACCGGTGTTAGGGGTGGGACTTGAGGGGTAGGCCAGTAGGGTGGTGGTGGCAAATGGTTTTTGAAAATACAGCCAGCCAGGCTCGATGGCTCAGCCTGTAATCCCGCGCCTTTGGGAGGCTGAGGTGAGTGAATTGCCTGAGCCCGTGGGTTTGAGACCCGCCTGGGCAACTTGGCGAGACCTCATCTCCACAATAAATCAAAAAATTAGCCAGGCATGGTAGCGCGCACCTGTAGTTCCAGCTACTTGGAAGGCTGAGGCGGAAGGATCGCCGGAGCCCAGCAGGTCGAGGCTGCGGTGGCTGGGAGCGGCCACTGCACTCCAGTCTGGGCGACAGTGAGACTCCAACTCAAAAAAAAAAGAAAAGAAAAGAAAATACAACCTAGGACAAAGATTTTCTACCACAAGTACTGGTAATTTTTGAAACATGCAACACTTTTCTGGGTAGAGAAAAATGTATATGTGATATTGCCAGCTGCTAGTACAAATATTCCTGTTTTTACAGGAAGTTTTATGTTTCAGTTTAGTGAACAGCTTTTCCGTACAACTTAACGCCCACTAGTGCTTTTTTCTTTCTTCAGAGAATCCGTGACTTAGAAGATAAAACAGACATCCAGAAAAGACAGATAAAGGACTTAGAAGAAAAGGTATGTATTGAGTTCAATATTTGTCTTGTTCTCTGTTTGTGTAATAAGAAAGCCATACCGATTTTGTTCCCTGATTCCCTCTGGCCTCTCGGTGATTCTCTCTTGCCAAGGCAGGTGTACTTACGTCATGGTAGCCTCTACTTTCATTCAGGCCAGGAGGCCTCAAAGCTTTCGTCGTCTATCACCAAGCCTTGACATATTTGCCTTTTGTTTTGCTTTCTTACTTCTCTCTTTAATTGGTTTCTTTCCTCAGTTTCCCCTCCCTCATCTTCATTTCCTTTCCAAGAGTTTCTTCTGAGTTTTGTTATTCTGTCTTGCTTCTTTTTAAAAAAATTTTCTGGGCACCTTTAAAAAAAATATCTCTCCCATTATTATTTATAAAAGGACTTTCATCCTTGTGCCCTGTTTCACCTCAATAAGTTCGGAAACATGGGTTGATAAACGATCACTATGTCCTCCTGTCACTCCCCAAGGGGTCTAAAAGAGTAGCTGCTTCTGCCATCAGTCAGCCGGTGTCTGGGGATAAAATACAGTGGCCCCGAAAGAGGGCCCTTGGGTACATGTGTGGTGAGAGAATCCATGTGGATTCCACACAGGGACCCGTGTGCCAGGCAGGCTGTAGGACCAAGCCTCATACTACCTGGGTCCCAGGACCCTCCTCCCGGTGCCAGCACAAGTGGCACAGCGACTTCCTCTGGGATTCCACTCGCAATGACTGGGAGTAGTACCTGAATCCCTATGTAGAAAAAGAGGGGGCTGTTCTGCAGTGTTTTCTGTGGGCACACGAAGAAAATAGCAAACCATCTGCCATTTCTGACACAGTGGTTAGCATTTGGCTCATCCCAAGTTGCCCGTATAGTTATCCACACATGCCCCACACCCTCACACAGACTGGTCTTCAAATGCCCGTCTGACCTTGGATAAGGCCTTCACTTTCTGTGGCTAAGTCATTTCTATACAAAAGAGATGATGACAACTAGCCCTACCTTCCTCTAATGGGTTCCATGGAGAACAAATGAGGTCACTTAGGTAAAAATTGGGGAAGACTAAAGAAGCGTAAATCAAATTTGAAGAATAATTTTAAAATTTCCAATCCTAAAGCACACATTCCCTCTAAAATTTTAAATGTGAGTTTCCCTCATTTCAGAAGTGGGCTGTTGAGTTCTGCAGGAGTAAATGAGGCAAAGGCAAAGTACAGTGAACTGAGGACACTATGCACTTCCCCAGGGTTTGGTAGGAAGAACCACAGAAGACAGTTTTGTGCCCAACCTCTCTGAGTGTCAGAGACCACACTTAAAATCTTCCATTTTCCACACTTTAAATAGCCAGCCTGTGGCCGTTCTCTGTGCTAATTCACAAGCCAACCTTGGACTCAAGGAGGAAGTCAAGGTTTAGGCAGTGCTGCCCCATTGTGATACCATTCAGGCCCCATTCCACTGAGGCTTAAAAAGAAACAAAAGACTGGGATTTTACAAATATCTACTGCTATCACCACCCTAGCTATTCTCTAAATAAAACCCCCAAAAATTTTGAAGGAAGGGGGATTAAGATAACGTTCACTGTCAGAATTCAGTGTGAGCTTTTTCACAATTCTTTTACCCAATACACTTTACAGGCCTTAACTTCCTAAACATTTATGATAATGAGGCAATATACTTAACAGAAGATAAATACTCTTTAATTATCAAAGCTGCATAGTCTACATGTGGTAGTAAGTTCAACCACTTCAAAAACTATCCAATTGGTTTCTGATTAGAGATTTGACTGAGAGAAGAGGCATACCATGTACCTTCTATTCACCTGATCCAGGTTCCCCTTGTCTTAAGCCTGGTACAAAGGCTAAAGATCACTTGTGTTGGGGATATTCTTACCTTCGGCACTTAATGCCCACAGAGGACACATGCACCACTCTTCTGTGTAGCTCCACAAATGCAGTTGGCATAAATCAGCTAGGTGACCATAACATGTGTCCAGAGCACATTCACTGCCATGGTTGCATTTGATTCTCATGCCTATTCTATAAGCACATGTTACGGTCCCCAGATAATATAACAATGTCTCAGAGAACTTAAGCAACTTGCCCAGGAATGTATATACAGTTTACAGCAAATCAAGACGAGGTCAGGGCATCTGATTCCACACCACAGGGCCAAGATTCACACCCAGTGACAGGAGCTTTCTCCTGCCTGGACAGGTAGCTCTGACGTCCAGTCTTCTTGGAGGAGGCATGCGAGGTGTGAGGCCTCCATCCCTCTCTCTCGAACTTCCCCTGCTGTGGGTGCGTCTTCAAGAGTATAAAACAGGGACAGAGCTCCTGCCTCAGGATGATAGCATAGTTGCCAGTACGTGGCTGTCAGCACTGTTTTTCTAACTGGTCTGTAGAATTGAGCCATGGTGAAGCAGGAGCCTCATGCACGGTGGCATTAAAGGAAACATGCCAATAACATGCATCATGGGAGAACGCCATACACAATCCTTCTCCATAGATGTGCCCAACAGGGTTCCTGAGTGTGGTGATCCAGCAGAGCCTTATTGACTCTGCAAAGTAAGCCACCAAGGAAGTCAGTTACCTTTTAAAAACTGGCCTGACCTGTGACCTTTTGATAATGAGTATATTCTTAGTTATACACCTGTTCTACTCAAGCTTGCATTTGTCCCTCCAGTTATCTGCATCTCTAGTGAAGATTCTTGGTAAGGGGAGACAAATCAGATTCCGTGTAACTTCTGTGAGTCCCATAAGAGGGGTCTATCTGGGAGGCATGATGGCTGGAACAGTGTCCCACACTCATTATCTCCAGTGCCCATGGATGTGGAAGGATGTTTCACACCAGTAGGATGGCCACCCATTCTCCAATGCCCAAGACAGACCCAGGTCATACCTGTTGCCCACTGCCATTACTATAGTCTCCACGTCCCTCTCAGAAGTATCCCACTATGGGTAACTAGTGACATGTTTACTCTGCATTTTCATATTCTCCCTGCTTTTCCTTGGTCCTGAAACCTACCACTTTAACCAAATAACCATAATGTTGGGCGATTAAGTAACAGTCTGGTCATATTTTGTATTTTTGAATACCTTCCCATACATGAAAGATAGAGACAATGATATCTAAAGAAGTAGGACTTGGGGTATCTAAGCTCCAACCCTCACTATGCCATGAAATTGTCCAAAATTAGACTTTTGGTTTCCTGCTCTGTGCTTATGTTTCTATCTATAAAATAAGGAGTTAGACCTATTACCTATAAGACCCCCTCACAATTCTAAAATGTATGAATCCATGTTAGCTGAACACTGGCTTGCTCTGTTAGTAGATACATGTGAGGGATGGATTTCTGAAACAAGTGCTTGGTATGTATGTGGGAAATGTCACCGTGACAGTATGGGAAGCTGAGGTTTTGTACTACCTGAATGGCACTACAGACACTCAGATTTACATAATCTTCTTCTTTTTCTTCTGCAGTTTCTGTTTCTATTCTTGTTCTTCTCTCTTGCCTTTATTCTATGGCCTTGATGTCAAGGTGCCTCTTAAAGGTAAGATTCCTTTTAATTCTCAAAATGTGGTTCTAAGAGGTATTGGGTAAGAAGGATGCTACTTGCAGTTACTGTGCCATTAAAAAAAAAACAATCACACTTACCTTGGTTAGCTTCAATGCCATGAAATAAGAAACAGGTCTAGTCTATTTAGGTGATTTTTTTTTTTTTTTTTTGAGTTGGAGTCTCACTCTGTCGCCCAGACTGGAGTGCAGTGGCTGCTCCCGGCCACCGCAGCCTCGACCTGCTGGACTCCGGCGATCCTTCCGCCTCAGCCTTCCGAGTAGCTGGAATTACAGGCATGCGCTACCACGCCTAGCTGATTTTTTGATTTATTGTAGAGATGAGGTCTCACTGCCCAGATGGGTCTTGAACCCGCGGGCTCAGGCAATCCACTCACCGCAGTCTCCCAAAGGCACGGGATTACAGGCTAAGCCACCGAGCCCACCTTATTTAGGTGATTATTAAACAAGTAAAGAAAATACGATGTATTCTGGGAATCAGAAATTTTTTTTCAGTTAACCATTGCTCTGGGAAGTTACAAGGTTTGTGAATCTTAGTATTCTCTTTGTACTCTCCCATTGCACAAAAACAATTGCTTTTATATCTGCAAGATGAAGAAATATGACTTTATCTCTAGTACCACTCTTGGCTTGAAAATTCCTATTCTGTGACTCTAGCCATCAATAACAACTCTAGCCAGCAATAACGAAAAAGGAGAGTCTTACTATTATTGTTACCAAGTCCATGTTTCAGAATACATGCATAATGTTAGCCTGTGATTCCCAGTGCTTAAAAATAGATTCCCAGGCCCTACCTCAGACTTAATAAATCAGATCACAGGAGATGGAGGTGAGAGAGAACAAGGGGTGAGTGGAAAGCAAGGGATGGTCTGTATTGGACAAGCACACCAGGTGGTTCTGATATCCAGCCATGTATGGAAGCCACAGATTTCAGTAATATTGTTAAAAACAAAGGCGGACTAGCTGCTGTTCTAGATCCATGTATCATGGCTCACATCAACCTTGATCATCCTATCAAGTTACATCATACAGAGACCTTTTCTGGACCTCATGTGACTTAATATTTTCTAGAGCAAGTTGAAAAATGGAAGAGACATTTTTCCCTCTGTGGGTATCAACTCTGCCACCTGGATGTGGAACAGACAAGTGAAAGTGCTTTAGCATGACCTGATCTAAAGAAAGACCTGAGCCGATATGCCCAGAATGCATATGGCCTCCTAGAACTCACTCTCTGGCTTTTGTCTTTCTTCCAGAAGACTCTCTTTTCAGACTGACAACTACCCTTTTTCTGGCAAGAAAAGAGATGTAGCACCTTAGAGCTCATAGAGAAGATTGAGTCTCTTACATGGAATGAGAATATCACAATTGAAAGGGGGTGAGATTCCCTAGGAAAGGATCAAAAGAGCCAGAGTATCAGAAAACAAGCAGCAACCCCTGCCACCAAATAATAAAGAAATAAATGAATAGGGCAAATAAAGCCCAGTAACAGTCAAGGAATACATGGTGATTTAGGAAAGAAAAATTAAAACTCACCAATACTACCTAGAAAATGGTTGGTTTCAACATTAGCATCAATACTGGCTAACATGCACTACATGCTAGGAACCATTCTAAGCAATAGATAAATCTACAACCTGCCCTGTGAGGCAAGTACTGACTTTATTCCTGTTTCACAGTTGGAGAAATTACAGCATGTGACTTTCCCAAGACCATACAGCTGCAATTAGCAGAACTAGGATATGTACCCAGGCAGCCCCGTCCAGAGTCCAATTTCAACCCCCAGACTGCCTCACCAGCAAGAGAGGGCATTTTGCCCATATTTTGAGTAATGTGGGAGTTCATCTGTGGCTACAGTCAGAGACATCTGGTAGTACTGTTTAGCCACTGGCTGTTGGAATTACGATGTACTTTTCTCATGTAACTCCTTGAGGGATACAAGATTGATTTGTTTTTCCTACAAAGTAGTACATAATTGACACTTAGTAATCATTTGTTAAGTGAAAGACTATAATGATAATTAATAATAACAGCAAATTAATGTGATTGGGCAGTATAAAATATATGCAGAAAAAATGGTTGAGTTGAGTGCACAATTTTGAAGTCAAATATACTTTAAGTTTAAATTCTGCTATTTAACTGTGCCATGGTAGACTATTTAATCTACCTGAGATGAGGTTTCCTATTCCATAAAATCGTTGTCATGTTACCTACATCATGCTATTGTGTGGAGAGAGTTAATTGAGGTTATGTCTGGAAAATAGTTCAATAATCAGCAACTTTTAGCTATTATGGTAAATAAAAGTAGATATCACATTTACTGAGTTTTTAAATATTTAAATTTGAAATTATAACCTTTAGTACTGCCAAGTAGTTTATGATATAAATCCAAACAAGTAGTTCCTTTTCATCTCCTCTTTTCAGGAAATAATCTGGATTTAAATAATATAAGGGAATACAACATTGCTGAAAACTGATTAGTGCTTTTTATGTTTCCAAAGCAAGAATAAATAAGGAAGAAAAGTATCTGACTTGTTGGCAGGTAGTAAAAGCATACTGCAAATAACCACAAAAACGTATCTATACTAAAGTAATGATTTGTATTCTGTTTATAAAACGAAGACTGGGCTGGGAGCAGTGACTCATGCCTGCAATCCCAGCACTTTGGGAGGCTGAAAAAGAAGGGTCACTTGAGTCCAGGAATTTAAAACCAACATAGGCAACATAGCATGACCTCATCTCTACAAAAAAAAAAAAATTCAAAAAATTATCCAGGTGTTGTAGTGTGCTCCTGTAGTCCCAGCTACTCAAGAGGCTAAGGCAGCAGGATCTCCTGAACCTAGGATGTCGAGGCAGCAGTGAGTCATGGCCGTGCCACTGCACTTCAGCCTGGTTGACAGAGACCCAGCCTCAAAAAAAAACAAAAGCTAAGACTAACTTGCATTACATATAAAGATACCCTCCTTAAAATGAAGGGGCTTATAATTTTCTTTTAGCAGTTACCTAAATCACTATTGTCAGTGATGATGTAGAAACCACTAAAAGCTCCTAGGAGGCACCCTTACTGCACTTAGCACTTGCTGACTAAATAACTGAGCCACATGGATCCTGTTGGAACTTTTACTGAGAACAGGGGTCTCCAGGCAGTTTAAGGAGATATGATCTGCTCATGCATTCTGTTTATTCCAAATGAATGGTGTGCTACTGTATTAGGATGCACCAGAGACACAACCAATAGGATGATGGATGGATGGATGGATGGATGATGGATTGATGGATGGATGGGTGGGTGGATGGGTAGGTGGAAAGAGAGAAATAGATGGATGGATGCATGGATGGATGGATGGATGGATGGATGGGAGGGGCTTTATTAAGGGAATTGGATCATTAGACTGTGGAAGCTGATAAGTTCCACGCTAGGCCATCTGTAAGCTGGGGAACCAAAGAAGCTGGGAGCATGGCTCAGTTATAGTTGGGAAGCCCACAAACGAATAAAGCCAAAGGTATAACTCTCAGTGCAAGAGTTGAGACCCCAGAGGCTTCTGGTGCAAGTCCCAGAGTCCCAAGACCGAAGAAACTGCTACTCTGATGTCTTATCCATTCACTCCACCCCATGGCCCAATCACCTTCCATCAGGCCCCAACTCCCAACACTATTGTATTAGGGGTTAAGTTTCTAACACATGCTTTTTAGGGGACACATTTAACTTATAGCAACCACTAATTTTTTATATTAGGTAATTATACAGGGAGACAAGGGAAAGAAAAATATGAGAGGAGTGGAAAAATAGTTATCACCAGGTTAGTTGTTATCACTGTGTTACAGTGACCCATTGAAAATCTCCTCTTCTAAGCAGGAATGACCTAATGAAGAATATGACATCACCAGCTTTGTTAATTATGAAACTGGGAAGACCAGAGAACAGATGACTATGATTCTTTATTCACATATTCTATTCTAGCTCGTTTTCAGTGATACGTCTCTAGTGTCAATCATGAATTTTTGAACTTGACAGCCAAATGTTTTCACTTCCTGCCTAGTAACCTAAAAAGTTCAGACACATAATACTGTATTATTGTTCTGATGAAAAATAACTTAAGAAAAATTTAAAATATTGTATTATAAAAATAGCCACAGTTGACTGATTATGAATTATCTGTTAAAATATGCAAATGTTTACTTTTTATTACATTTATAGTTTTCCACTCCCTCCTCCCACCAACACCAGCAGGTAGCCTGTGGAAAATAGTCACATGACCAGTTTCTACTATATTTGTTGTTTAAAATTGGAGGATTTTGTCAGTAGTGGGAAACTGCGATGGGGAGGGAGCACACTTCATCTCAAACCACAGGAAGTGGGGACCAAAGTGAGGCCCAAACTCTACCTGTACAATGACCATTTGTATACCTAACCCTGAATTGTGCCCCACATCTTTTTTTTATTATTATTTATTTATTTATTTGAGTTGGAGTCTCACTCTTCGCCCAGACTGGAGTGCAATGGCTGCCCCCGGCCACCGCCGCCTCGACCTGCAGGGCTCCGGCGATCCTTCCGCCTCAGCCTTCCAAGTAGCCAGAATTACAGGCATGCGCCACCACACCCAGCTGATTTTTTGATTTATTGTAGAGATGAGGTCTCGAACCCACGGGCTCAGGCAATCCACTCACCTCAGCCTCCCAAAGGCGCGGGATTACAGCCTCCCAAAGGCGCGGGATTACGAGCCCGGCTGTGCCCCACATCTTTAAAATAAAAAAATTTTTTAAATAGGATTTCACTCCTTATGATTTCATAGTGATAAGGAAAGTCTATCAGCTGAACCATTGTGTACCAGTTAATAATTTCTTTCTTTATATAAATATATGCATTAGTCTTTATCCAGTCATACTTAAGTTGTTTCCCTACTTGTACACAACTGTACTATTAAGAAAGCTTAGAGTAGAGCTTATGCTTTCTTCATTATGTTTTATTCATCTGTGTATCTTCAGTGTCTACACCAGTGCTTTATATCTACTAGGAACTGAATAATTGGCAAATGAACTTAAAGCAGATGAACTGGCAAAATTGGCAAATGAACTGAAGGCAGATGGATAGATAAATAAATAGCTGGACAAGCAGAAATGAAAGAAGATGTGTGATGTGATTGCTTAGAGCCATGGGTAGCATAGTAATGTAACACTAAGATAACATTCACTGTGTTCCTTATACATTATTTGGAGACTAACTTAAAGAATGCACCAAGGAAAGAGTGCATGCACAAATACACCATGCCCGTCTCCCCAGCTGGAGTAGCTCTCTCACTAGCCTCCATGCTTCCACTGTAGACCCTTCTCCACACAGCAGTTAGAATGAATTTTTCAAAACTCAAATCTGATCTTGCTCCTTTCTAGGAAAATATCATCATTAGAATTAAGTCCTGGTTTTTTTCATGTGGCCAACAAAGACTCAGATGGTCTGCCCAGAGCTTTCAGGTTTCCTTTTGCTGCATTCCCTGATGAGCCATTCTCCCTCCACCACAGGCTCTGCCCAGGCTCTCGGCACAGAAGACTTCCTCCTGCTCTCCAATGAGCACCCACCCACTCATTCTTCAGATTTCAGCCTAGCTGTGACCTCCTCAGGGAGATCTTTCGTGATGCCCCTCCTGGACAAACTTTACATGAAGACAAATGTTTTTTAAATTTATGTCTTTCTTCCTTTTTGTATATAAGCTTCATGAAGGAAGGGACCATGTATGTTTTGTTCACTCTTGTATCCCAAATAGACAGTGCCAAGCACGCAGTCAAGAATAGATACTTTAAAAATAATACTAATTGATATTATGATGAGAAAGGAGAACACACCTTATATTACAGTCCAGACAGTATATTTTTTATTCATTATTTTATTTAATAATAATATAATAGTATCTATTTAATGCAAAATAGATACTAGTTTACCTCTCTGTCTTAGTTCATTTGTGCTGCTATTTCCTGCAACTAGGTAATTTGTAAATAATAAAAATATATTTCTCACGGTTCTAGAGACTGGGAAGTTCAAGATCAAGGTGCTGGCAGGTTGGTGTCTGGTGAGGGCTGCTCTCTGCTTCCAAGATGACCCCTTGTTGCTGCATTCTCAGGAGGGAAGGAACACTGCGTCCTCACATGGTAGAAAGGACAGAAGGGCAAAAGGAGCCAAGCTAGTTCCCTCCACTAATCCCATCCACTCTGCCCTCATGATCTAATAACATTCTAAAGGTCCCACCTTAATATTGTTGCTTTGGGGATTAAGTTTCAGTATGCATTTTGGAGGGACACAATCATTCAAACCATAGCACTCTCCAAACATTACTTTTTTAATGTAAAAGAAATCAGCAGGTAAATAGCACCCACTATTTTTCTGAGGACTGAATGGCATTCTATAGTAAAGCAGCTGGTATAGTACCTGGCATGTGGAAAGGCTTCTTACAGTCCAAATTCTCAAGACATCCCAAGCATTCTATCTTGAATCATGCCCTTCAACATGTGCTTTTGTCTTTCTGGGCCACATTTCCCACACAGCCATCCATCCATCCCATCTCAGTGGAGAATCAGGGAAGACCCCCTGATTCTTTAGCTTCAATTACATTCCATTTAATATTGCTACCTGTCTTCCCATTAGGATTTTCATGGACCAATTATGTAGCAGTTTCATGTCAGTTTCCTCATTCGTAAAACAGGGGTTGTAACAGCAACTGCCACTTAGTGAATACTTTACCACATGAGTTACAGTGCAGACTGAAGGAGCAGAAGGCATCAGAGATGACCCTCAGGCTTCTGAAGGGTGTAACTGGCTGGATGGTGGAGCCCCTTGGACACTAGAGTCATAATCAGAAGTGTCATCACAGTACTCGTTAGCTTAGAATCTGGTAGTATGGTGTAAGGTTTCAGAAATGGTAGCTGCAACTGCTGTTCTATAGAGGAGGAAACTAAAGCTCAATACTATTAAGCAACTTGTTAAAAGAACCCCTGTGATCCATTAGATAACTGCATTATTCAGAATGCCAATTTGAATATATCTGGTTTTACTGTAGAAATCACAGTTCCTTTTACATATACTCTTCAGCTTATTTAACATTCTGGGAGACTCCCTAAGAGTTCATTGTTTTTTAAAACCCACATAGTGTTTACTCATATGATGAGTTTTATCTGAGGTGTGATAGGCAGAAATTGTGCATATGTGCTTTGACACTGAATATACATCTGTTAGTATATAAATGAAAAGTTTACAGGTAAAAGACTTTTGTGTTTGTATACATAAAATAAATATATAAACACAAACATGTGTATATATATACAAACATACAGATATAAATATCTCTATATCAGATATAGATATCTCTATATAACAAATATATATTTCTTTTTTTGAGTTAGAGTCTTGCTCTTGTCACCCAGGCTAGAGTACAGTGGCACGCTCAATGCCACCACAGCCTCGACCTTAGGCGATCCTTCTGCTTCAGCCTTCCAAGTAGTTGTACGCCACCATGCCTGGCTAGGTTTTGTGATTTATTGTAGAGACCAGGTCTCACCAAGTTGCCCAGGCTGGTCTCGAACCCCCAGGCTCAGGTAATCCTCTCGCCTCAGCCTCCCAACGTGCTGGGATTACAGGCTGAGCCACCACACCCAGCCCCCTTGAATCTTTTGTATACATTCAGATCAATTCTCTTCTTTACCAGGGAATAGAAGAATATCATATTTGTTACTAATTTTGGGGGCCCGCACTCCAGTGAGATGTAAATGTGAACCTGACCTATCTTCTCAAATCATGGCTTTCACTCAGGTTCTGTCTTATTTCCCACTCTCATCCTTTAAATCATAGGTCGGCTTCTCAACTTTTCAGTGACATTTAATTTCCAAAAGTCTCTGCTAGTTTAAAAATTTAACCTCAGACTATTTAATTTCATTTCTTACCTTATCCTACCTTGGGTATGAGCTGGGCATTCCATGGAAGTGTTGTCCATGGTCTGGCTCTAGGAGGCCTCTTCCCCATCTCTCTCTCTCTCTTCAAGGCTCAGCCTTTCTGGAGAGCAGAGGAAAAGGGAGAAGGATCCTGCCTCTTCATTCTGTTGGCAGTGGTTGTGGCTGTTTCACTGGCTATTGCTAACCAGCACTTGATGTCATTCCTGTGAGAGGTGACCAAAGGCCAGCTGTCCTGGGGACATACTTGCGAACTCTTGAGCAGACTGCAGAACATGCCCACTGCACTGGTCCAGCCTCTTGCATGACCATTCTGGCTCCCCAACTTTGGGCTGAGCAGGTAGCCTTTGAGAAGTATGGGCAAGGAACAACTGAACTACTGCCCCTGCCTCACTCTTCTTCCAGTCTCTGCTCAGGTAGACAAGGGAAGATGAGCAAGTCTGTGCGGAGTCTCCCTTTGTGCACACACCCCCAGTCTGTGCCTCTCAGCCCCTCCCCTCACTCCTCAGTGAGGTCACCCTGACTGCTGCAGTTCCTTCTCACAGCGTCTCTCTGGCACTCTTACTCTTACACCCCAGTCTGACCTAGTCCTGGGAGCATAATGGCTCTGCAAATATACATTCCAGATACTTCTGACTTGCACTCACGAGAGGAATGTCCTTGACTCTATGATGTGCCTCAGTGTGGTGGGCTGGACATGTCCTTGGGATACTACGTGCCTTCTTTTCCCCCACTTTGGAATTTCGTCACCATTTCTGGGACAATAGTAAAGTCCCTGCAGAATCAGTGTCCTTATTGTATAGATGAGGAAATTGAGGCTTACAGAAGTTAAATTACTTATACTTGGGCATACAGCGAGAAGCTGGAAACCCATTTTCTCTGTCCACATGGCTCACACTCTAAAGGCCATGTCCTTAAGTGACCCATGAGAGTGTGTCCTCTATGCCATTCCCAGCTTTTATCAGAAAGAGAGCATTATGACCTAGACATCTACCCAAGGGAAGACCCAGACATGCGGACTTGCAGAGAAACAAACCTGGGAGTCCTGACATTTTCAGAGACATTGCTGAGCCAACCAGGAAACCTGTGTGGCAGGATTCCCAAAGAATCCTCTAGTCAGGACCTCAGGGTAAAGGACAGCCTGCCCATGGTTACAATTGTTAGGTAGGTAATATGTAGAAGTCAACCCCTGAAGGGCATAGACAGACTTGTTTTTAAAATAATATCTTAAATTGGTATTTGGGAGCATGACAATTCAGTTGCACTCCTTAAACATCACCTTAGAAGGTGCCGGAGGAAAAGGCAATAATGATAATAGCTAATATTTCAGACCACTTAAATGAGACAAGAACTGTTCATTGTTTTATATGCATTATGTTGTAATAATCCTGGAATTAGATACTTCTGTTTTCTTACTTAAAAGTAGAGTAGCTAAGCTTAGAGATGTTATGTAGCTTGCACAAGATCATAGAGCCCAAAGAGATGGTAAGAAATAAAAAATATTTTTTATTTTAAAAAGTCTGGGTTTTTTTTTAAACGATTCAACTGTTAATAGAAATGATAATTGAGAATGTTTTCCTCTGTTTTACAGAGTAACCGAAAACATGGATAAGACCCCAGAAAAGCAAATGCTTCCAAACCTTCAAAGATGGCAAAATTGTTTACACCAGTGAGAGGGTGATTAAAAGCTAAGAACTACCCTGTAGCCAGGACTACAACTGTGTATTTTAAAGCCATTATTCAAGGTTTCTTACTTGACAGTTCCTACATGACCCTGTTGAAAAGCTACAATATATGCTGCATTTAATGAAACATGTATATGTCAAACCAGAAGAAAAGAACTATAAACATACATTGTATAAAGAAAAAATTCAGCAACTGAACCAGTTTCAGCAGATCAAGCAAAGATGTGTCTTGGGCATGGAACCAAAGTTACAATGAAACATTCAACTCCTGCTGTGCAGGGGGGTCATTTTAATGTAACACCACACCCCATGGAAACACTAGTCCTGATAATAAACATCATTTTAAAAGATCAAAACAGAAAAAGCGGGTGGGTGGGGAATGAAGCACGAGGAATACCTATGAGGAACTATTTACAATAAAATGTTTCATTTGAAAAGTCTGGTTTCTTACTACAGGGATTTGCTTTTCTGTCTTTACGGTTGTTTTAAACTCAGGAACAGAGACGTCTGCAACATGAAGGGGAAGAAAGCACTCCATTTTTCTGCAGAAGGTGGAGCTTGTGAAATTCACACCACAAATGACAGATGAGAAATGGATCCCAGCGACCCCAACTAAACTGGCAACCACGTCAGAGGACCTGGGGGAATGTATATGAAATAAAAGCAGATTTGATGCTTCTTTGCCCTCCCCTCACTCAGTGTTCTCCATCGACAACGGACTGATCTCATTCACATGGAAAATTAAGAAGTTGATGCTCTAGATCACAAGCTCTCAGACTTAGTTCTCTTTAGAACGCCGACATCTAGTGGGAACATGGGCTGGAGAGCATCTCTGAATCTTTCCATTTCCAAAATACTGGTTTTCAAATGGCTTTCTAAAATTGTCTGCAAATGAATATACTAAATGATTTGGGTAAAAACACCATAGAGGTGATAAGTGCATTTCTACCAACTGTTGGGTTTGCCAGAGAGGTGTGAATAGTAAACAAAATTATGATTATTTTTTAAAGTGTATTGATCTGCCTAAAGCATTTTGACTTCTGAGAGTAATAACTCCCTCCCCCTCCACAGCTGACAGCAACAAGATAGCTCTACTTTTTTATATAGAATAACATGTTACTGATAAGATCATTTTTTTACCAGAGACAATTAGAAGACTGTACTTTTCCTAAAATATGTATTACTGAGTCTTGGTTTCAGCTCTGAGAGCATATATGTTCCTGAAAAGCTAATTTTACACCTCATTTACTGTAGATAACAAAACAACCTCAATTTTTCAAATTTTTGAGGTTTTATTTATGGGGCTCGATTTCCCATCCATAGAGATTATGTGTAGGGAGCCAGAAACTCTTTCTATGAAATACTACACAAATCTTTCCATACGTGGGTTCAGTATCTTATCCTTCAGTCTTAGCCCTGGTGTTTTCAAAGCCAGAACAATAACTGAAGAATGTATAAGAAAAACTAGAATTCTGGGGTCCCACTCTTTGTTCCTATATTTACTGCTGACCCAGGTATCTTTGGCCCAGTCACTTAACCTCTCTGTGCCTCAGTTTCCTCATCTGCAAAATGGGGTTGAAATGCTTTTTCATAAAATTTTATTTGCAATTTTGGAACAAGAGGTGCTTAAAGTAGCACAAAGTGCTTTGCAATTATTACAACTGCTGTATTATTTGACTTTCTTGTGTTGTTGAGAAAGAGTCCCCTGTGTAATAAAATAGTGCTTCAGTTTGGTTAGATCTAAGCACGGTAGCATTGAAGATTTCCCATCAAGCTATCTGGGACATCATTAGCAATAAAGATTGAGAGGTTCAAAACCAGGGTCTCTAATAATCTATAGCAAATAGATCATCTCATGCTATTGAACAGGATAGAAGAGCTCATTGCATCTATGATGAGCGTCTCCCAGCTGTCTCGGTCACGTCATGCCATCATACAGAATGCCGCTTTATCACAGGACAGCCGACCAGGAAATGAAGGTTTGAAGAGAACTGACAGTGTCACGTAATTAGCCTGAATATCTCTTTCATTTTGGGGGAAAGGTGATGTGTCCTACTGGGGAGATGCAAAACAAACTATCCTGCTGGATTCTTTGCTCAACTAGGTAGGTTCTAGATTCAATATGAGCAGCAGGCTTGTCATGCAGGCAGTGTGGGGGAGGGTATGTCTGTGACCCAACTGGAGCAAACTTGAGTCAGAAAGTATGAAGAGGATAACTCTCCTATATCTCAGACTTTTCCATTGCTCTTCACTTATCATTCCAGGGCCCATCTGAGCAAAGCCCTACTCAGTTGACTCCACCAAACATCTTCCCACTCTTCATTTTTCTTCCCCCACCAAGAAACTTGTAGGTTATGATTTATATCCAAGAACTGACTTTCTAAATGATTAGAAATATTGGTGAGAGTGATTCAACTATATACCTAATCTGCTTATCTGCTATAATTAAATATAAGCAATTCATGTGAGAGCAGCAGCTAGGGAGACCATTTAAGCAGCTTCAGATGTGTTCAGGACAAATGTAAAAAGGAGGGATTTTTTTTTCTTTTCTTTTTGCTTAAGATCCAGGAGATCAATTTTCTGTAGATTGCAAGCTAAACTGTAATATTTTTACTAATTTTTTTGATGATCCTCTAACATGACACTGGGTAAATCTAAATACTCTGATAGATACATCTCTCTTATCCATTTTCACAATTATAAAAGCATCAACAAAACTGTAAATGTTCCAACCACTCATAGATCCATGGAAACAGCCCATGTCTAAACGAATGCTTCCCTTGGCTGGGGTGTTCAACAGTAGCAAAAATAGAAACAAAAAATATCTCATGGATAATGGAGAGGCTTCCTGCGGTTTTGCTTCTCAAAAAGGGCAGATAAACTCCTCTACATCTTTAATTTTTGCACTGTGCTACACATTTGGTCAGTGAGTTAGCAGCAGTCAGAACAGCGTTCTTCTGGGTTCATTCACCTAACTTTTCTTAATAAAGTATCCCTTGGAAGACAAACATCACTGACTGCTAAAGATAGTTTGAGATAAATGAAAGCCCCAATTTACATGTTTATTCAGGTCACAAAAATTTCCATGAGGGGAGAAATGGACAGACGATATTCGATGAACACACTAAAAAGTGTCTATCACCAGATGGCCACATTTTTTTTAATACCACCCAACTTTTATTTTGGGAAACTATAGAATTAGGTGAAAAAAAATCAGATCCCTTTTAATTTGTCATATTAATTAAATTATTTCCAACTGTGATGTTTTAAGCATAAAAGAATACATTTTGCTTTGATTTTTTTCCAGTCCACAAATAACCGCTCATGTAAATAGGATGGGTCTTTCCAACCCAGTCAGAGAGAGGTGGTACAGAGTGTGTAAGTCTGCATGGGGGCTGGACAGGAGCCTGTGTTCTCCTCTAGTAATAAAAGAAAGTTTACCAGGTAACATTTGCTCAGTAGCTTATTTCAACTTACTTTGGTTATTTTCAGTTTTAAATAAATGTCTGGCAAACCTCTACCTAATTACTGTCAACTTTTTCTGTAAACCCACTGTGTAATTAGCATGTTCACTGTCTTCGATGTAATTCATAAGTTTATTGTTTTAAAATGAAGCATATTTTTTAACTCACCTGGGTTTTCATGGAAAGTGTAAACAGACTATCCATTGGCTTTGTGTTGATGTTTAAATAATTGGATAATCTGTGTTATGTCACATCAAAATAGATGAGCAGCATAGACATTTTCCTTTTAAAGTATTTTATTGCATTATTTGGATCTTTCAGAAAGTGGCAGGGAATATATGTACACACGTGCACACACACATGCACACACACACACGACAGGATAGGAGTTTGCTGTGTAAACTGGGTTGGCATTGCTGGTTGCCCTTTGTGAACTTTTCATAACCGAGTTCTGGTGATCTAATGATAGCTTTAGGCAATTTAATTATACCAATTTACTCATTTAGATTTGCCTGCTATATTTTAAAAGTTTAATACAACTTTAGAAAGATAAATAAAACAAATCTTAGATGACTACATCATGAGTTAATGCTTCCAAGCCCCCCTTACAGTGGACTTCTGGGTCTTAAGAGAGTACAGCTGTCATTCTGTTCAGCTGCCTTGTGATTTCTATATAATACATTTTCCTGAGAGAGAACTTCAGGCATATTGGCAAGAGGGTTCAAACATCAAGGAAGATTGGAGCTGATCCTTGTGAGGCCTCTTCAAGGGCCAGATTCTGTGATTCCATTTCAAAACTGGGCAGAGCAGATTTACATTCCTTTGCTGTCTTTAGTCTGGCAGTTTAGTTCTTCCTAAATAAATATTCTCTTGTTGAGAGTCCAAGTCCAATGTTTAATCAAAATTACTAAAGGTAGTTACTAGGGAGGCTAAGGTGGAGGAATGATCGCTTGAGTGCAGGGAACATCACTAAAGATACAATTTAAAAGGCTAAAGGCAATGTAGCAAAAATAGGATTATAATTTGCTATATTCATCCTAGTGTGGCTGATTTGGTGAGGTTTCCTTTGTGCCATGCCTATATTCTCTCATCCTTGTTCTATGCAAAGTTTGGTAGGGTGAGAGGTGTAGGTAAACAATTTTGAGCCCCATGTTGCATCCAAGACTTTACAGACTTACTAAAGAGTGGAAGATGCAATTTCTCAACCAAAAGCAGGTCCCAGCATCCGTTAGGAACTAACACTTATGTCTGACTGACATCTCACAGACTGAGCCTAATCCTCATCAATGGCAACAACTTCCCACAATGAGGCAGACTGAAATCCAAACATTTTTATAAATATGTGATGTACATATATTTAAGCAAATACATTCTGTACCTAGCATGATGGTATGAGTGCTGTCTATATGCACTTCTGTTCTGGAGAGAGGACTTCAATAAGGTTTTTACTGACACTGTTATGTAGCCCATGTTTTTGTTTAGCACCTAGTGTCTGTGCTTGTGCCTCTTGGCCTGCCTCTTTCTCCCTCGACCTTCCAGTCCTTACTGTTCTGTTTTGTTGTTGACTAAGGCAGAGACTACTCAGTGGTTCTTCAATTACCCAGACCCATCAACCAGCAAATGGGTATTCTCGATTGTTTTGTTGTCCGTTGGTTGGGGTTTTTTTGAAAAGCAACAGGAAGTTCAACACAATCTAAAGTGTTGATACTAGCCCAAATTTCCACGTCTTTATTAGCTAAAAAATCTCATCCCAAGAAGGGTTTGTGTATGTGTTAACCTTCAAGATCCAGTTCTGTGATGACTCAAGCGCAGAGTGAAAGCATTTGAATACATCATTCCCCAAGTGTCTACAGTACTAATGTAGTCAGGGGTCCAATTTCTCAGAGACTTCATTCAACAAACTGCCTCAATTGGGGTTCTTTCTGTCCGTCTCATGAGCATGACTCCATATATTGCTTCAGTGCTTGTTTATTAATGAAAGAAAAACATAAGTTGGCTGCATTTCACCAGAATGACCCTCTGAAGTACACTGAACATGTACATGTGCTGTATGTATTACTGTAGAGACTGGAATCAACCTATTGTATGTAAAGTTTTATGAACTGTTATTTTATAACTTATGTATTTAATATAGGAATCAATGAACTCTGGTGTTTTAGTTTATATAAAAATAAAACAAATTGCATTTTTTTTAACTTTATCTTGCATTGTTTATAACTTGTTTATTTTTAACTGAACTCATCTGTTTTTGAAAACCAGGGAGAGGCCAATCAAGGCTATCAGTGTAATGTCAGAAAATAAGCTCTACATGGAGGAGAGCAAGTAGGTATTTTCATGTCTCTCCACTCTGAACTTGTTACTTCACCTGTCACAGGCACGGTGGCAAGGAGACCAAGGCAGGGTTTAAACTCATAGGGAAGAATTCTGGTCACCAGCATCCCTGTTTGAGCAGAGTTGGGGAGAGCCTCTTGGCAGCTACCTGCCATCTGTATTCTAGATGTTATTTTTTTTTCCTCTACCTTGTGGAACCACTATACATAACAAGTTAACAGGTGTGTGTATGGATGGGTTCACCCTCAAAGAGCTCACACTCTCATGTGGGAAGCAATCCAGGTATCTGTGAATCCAACAAGAAGTCAATATGGCACAATGAGGTAAAATTTTGTAAGCTGCCACACAGAACTATTAAAATAATATTTGACCTGGCATGGTGGTTCATGCCCATAATTCCAGTGCTTTGGGAGGCCAAGGCGGGAGGATCGCTTGAGCCCAAGGCTGCAGTGAGATATGATTGCACCTCTGCACTCCAGCCTGGGCAATAGAGTAAGACCTTGTCTCAAAAACAAAATAAAACAAAAATGTTGGTACTTTGAATTGGACTCCAAAAGGCCCACGCAAAGAGGATTTCTTCTTTTAATTGTAATCTCTTTATATTTGCCAGCAAAAAAAAAAAAAAAATCACTCATCAGTTCATTATAACATCTGTCACTCATTCATAGGAACCACCTCTATGCCAGGATCTATATAAAATTCTAAACACAGAGGAGAATAAGGCATAGTCCCAGCCCTCAAGACATTCCTAATTTGCATTATTTGCTGATGACTTACAGTGACTGAGTCTCTATGAGAAAGGTACCTAGCATATCAGCAAGCCATAAAATACACAGTTATGATTATGGGATTCTGTATAACTTTGTAAATGAAAAGCTCTGTTTGGATTAACTCCAATTTTAGTATATAATTCAAATGGGATATGTTAACAACACAACTGACCCCTTCTAGCTCCAGAGGAAAGGACCCCACTGTCTTCTGGAGATGCTAAAGAGAGTGGGTGGCCCGTCCTACTGTAGAGCCAGTTGGATGAGGCCCGCAGGACATCCTGGCAGGAACACCTCCTGAGGCTCACGAGGAAACCCCGCCCTGCTGGCAGGCATTCACAGGCACAGAGGTGCCGCCGCCGAGCTGGGGATTTGTGCCGAGTGGCCAATAAAGAATGCTTATTTTATGGAAGCAACTTTGTAGCTGCATATGAAACGTAAGACTAAACTGTGACGGGCTTTTTCTCATAGGAAATGTTCTAAAGAAAAATCTTTGTAACCAATACATTTTTGTGCATACCCACGAACTTATAAATATGAAGTCATTGGTTTTGATCAAAAGGTTCTATAACAAATAGTCATTTGTAATCTGTGCCAATAATTGCTGTAAAAATATTGAGAACAAGGCCATTGCATCTATGTGAACCCTCACGTGACTCTTTCAGAATTTGAAAGGAGACCCGAAAAATAGTAACCATCTCAGGAGCTAGATTTTTCTTCTCTTGTAAAGAACAATTTACAATGTTCCCATTCTGCCCTGACTGCTAGAAATACAAAAATAATCATCATCATCATCTAAAATTTAATCATGGAATCTTATCAATTCTATTTTCCTTTTTTATTTTATTGATCTCATTCCTTTGCCTTTTATTTGCTTTGATTTTGCCTTTAATTTACACTACCTCAAATCTTTTCTGTTCAACCATGAGATATGGATTTAATATAAAAATGTATGTTCATTATTCTTAGAGGCACTACGGAAATATGTGTAGAAAAAAATACCCCAAACTTAGGCAAAATGACAAGCAAATATCTTTTTAATTTCTCCCTGGAGTGGTTTCTAGTACTCACGTGGGGAAGTACAACCGTTCAGGAGAGCACAGACGGTCACAACCTTGTGAAGTGAGAGGCCAGCTCATAGAAAAAGGACAAGGTGTGACATGTTTTTTTCAACTTGATAGAGGGGGGGGGAAAACGCTTGGTGAGACCTCGACTCTACAATAAATAAAACATTAGCAGGGCATGGTAACACGTGCCTGTAGTTCCAGCTATTTGGAAGACAGAGGAGGGAGGATTGCTGGAGCCCAGCAGGTAAGATGCTGGGGTGGCTGTGAGCGTGCCACTGCACTCCAGCCTGGGTGATGGAGTGAGACTCCAACTGAAAAAACAAACAAAAACAAAAAGACCCACACAAACGAAGATTGAGTTTTGTCTCATAAACACATTCGCCCTTTTTTTCTAAAATATCACTTTCATTTCAGCGACTTTCCTCCATTCCTCAAGTCCTTGAACCCACTCAGTCCATCTTCTGGTTCCTTTAATTAACATAAAACTTGGATATAGGTTCATTTATTTTTATAAGAATGACGTTTTTAGTTATTTAATAAGAGTGCTTTTTCAAAATGCATTCTAGGACTTAGAACCTGCTCTCAATGAACTTACAGTAAAATAAGTCAGATAAAGAGGAAACATTGAAAAGAAATCGGTACTGGGTGGTTAAAGTCATAAGGATACCACAAGCCACCCAGTAGCCTGGATTCACCTTTGATTCCAGACGTGCCCCTTCTTCACCTTCCCTGACTCAGAGAGAAATGAAATGATGGTGGACCCAGGCTCTCAATTCTCATCTCCTTTCCCTCCTCACCCTCTGCAACCATCCTTCATAAGTTCTACTGATTTTAGTTCTCCAACCCATCTTCTGTCCTTCCTCACTCTTATGGAGAGTTTTTCACCTGCACTCTTGCAGCAGCTTCCTAGTGAAATTCACTCATTCCAGTTTTGCCCCTTTAAGTATACTCATCGTTTTCAGCTTGATTTGATGTGTGAATCACACCAGATGGTCCTCTCTTTTAAAATTCCTCCCTGACTTCCCACTGCCTGCTACCTGTGGTTAACTCTCAAGTGCCTATGGGAAGTAAGCATTTGGCATAAAAAGGCTTGAGGACTGGAGTACATCATTGCAGCCAGATTAAACACAAGCCACTGTGTTATCTAACCCAGCACTGGAAACTAAGTCAAGGTCTCTCCTTAGCGTGACCATTTACGTCCTAGGGCACCTGCTGCCCACCACAGCTGTAGACTGTTATGTCTGTCTCCAACACACACACACACACACACACACACACACACACACACACACACACACACACAGCTATTCAGAGGAGCTGGGAGTTATGTAGGCTTTGAGTCAAATTCATGCTGGGGATTTTGCTTTGTGCCCTTCATGACCAGAAATGCACTTCCTATTTTCCCACACCTGAGTAAATCTCACTCCTACTTGAAGTCTCAGCTCAGCCATTGTCTTCTTCAAGAGTTGGACAAAAGCTCCTTTGTTCTCCCACAGCATGTCTGTATGTCGCTATTCACTGTGTATATTAAAGTTTCTTGTTCTGTCCCTCTTCATTCAACCCCCAACTACATCTGAGTCATTTAAGATGTCTTTTTCAGCTTTCCATCCAGCACAGACCCTGTGCCCAGCAGCCTTGCTAAACTGTTGTAACACGGCAGTTTATGCACTGGAATGCAGGGGCGGGGGAGGGAAGAAGATTCGTCTCTAATGGGGTGCTAATGGAAGGCTCGGTGGAAGTGGACGTGGGTGAACTGGACCATTTCCTTGGAAAGTTATTTTGCTTTTATTCCTAGTGTTTTGTTTGTTTTGTTACCTCTTTCACTTATTCTTTTGTTTTGAAAGGGAGTCTTTTTCACAAACCAAAAGTTCTCCAGAGAACATGCACAAATGAATCACCTCATTGCTGTTCACATCACCCTATGCTCTCGATTCCTCTGTATTCTATGATCTGACCACAGGAGGGAAGCATTTGTCCAAAAGTCCAGAAAACAAGTGTGAGTTAAAGGAAAATCTAAAGCTGATAAACGTGCTATTCCGTGCCCCCATGTCCACATGAAAGCAGCAACCTCCACAGCGGTGTTGCCTGTCCTCTCTTCTGGCAGGATTTCCCACCGTCTCAGGCTTTGCTGCCTCTCTTTACTTCAAGGAGGTAATTTGCTCTCTTGGCCTCAAACAGCAAGGTAATTTCCAAACACAAAGGCCCAGGGACCTTAGTGACCAATTATACAGTCTCCAAATAATTCCAGATTAACCAGATGCCAGACAAAAGGGGTCAAAGCAGTTCATCAGAGCCGCTCCCTGATTCTACACCTCTGAAACAAGTTTCTCAAAGAACAGACCAGGAAGGTATGCTATTGTGTCTGGAGTTTCTCTCCCTCTGCGGATGACCTTGGATTTTTAAAAATAACAGTGTTGTGTTTTAAACATCTTTGCCAGAGCATATTATGTGTCTTAGAGGGATTTTTAAAGAAAAAAAATAGAGATTGGTTTTTTAAAAAATACCTCCCAAGAAGCACAAGAATGGAAAACAGCAATAATTTCTTGTTCTTACAAAACATTGACTAGATAAGCTTCTATTTCATTAGTCTGCCGTTCCTAACCATCAACAGCATTTTATAAGACACTGTAATTGACAAGGAACCCAATTCTTAGTGCTGATGTCGCTCAGTGATTAGGGGTCACTATGAGAAAGCACAATTCAAAATCAGCCAGGTGCTTCCACTTCATTTTAATGGCAGATGGACATACAGCCGAGATCCAGTTAGGATCTCGTCTATTTCTTCTCTTCTATTCCGTTGCCAGACACAATATGTGCATAGGAGACATGCAAATTGGGTCCCCGTATCATCTCCGCTACTAAGTATGTGTCATGGAATGAGTCATTTGAGCATTTGAAACCTCCCTTTCTTTATTTGTAAAATGGGATAATACCATCTGCCTTGTCGGGCCGTTGGGAGAATTAAGTAGGATACAGAAGCGGGATGAGTACGAAAGTGTGCGTGGGGAGGAGCAAGGGCTCACTAAACCACCCTC